ATCACCACAGTCACATTATATCGCATGCGTACAATATTTTTCATTCTGCTCATGTGTGAAAAAAAATCATTGGCAGGATCTACAACATCACAACTGAATGGCACAGCTTTACACTTGTTAAGCCTACCGGATAACATTTATTATTGCATATCGTTGGCGACTCATTGAACCATTGACCATTAAACCATTGACCATTTAAATGGTCTTATTTAGTAGGTATATTTTTCCTGCCATTCTGTCAGATACAAGGTCAGATGCATGCATGCATTGTGTCTACCATGTGCAACATCGTGCGATTCTGGAAGTTCGTTGACCTGCGCCGGGCCATGCTTCACTTTCCGTCGATCGTTATAAGGTGACGGGACGGCGTCAATACGTTATACAATGCAGCACTTTCCACACAGGACACAGGCGGCACCTCGACTCGACACTCATGGCTGATCGGTAGAAACCGCCACTAAATCAATACAAAAGCTGGTTAGGAACGCCGGAGCGACACAGCGGCAGCATTCAGTCCTGTTTGTGTGCTATATATCATACATACATGACCGAGTACCTGCAGGTGTCATGAGGGTATGAAATGGTTTCTGTTACTGAAAATACGCCAACTCGATACCAAGCGAGTCCGACAATATGAAGCCGCATTGCACAACACACCGTTTCACAGTGGCTTAGGTCCAGTCTGTCTTTACTGTTTCGGGTAAGACAGTCGCAAAAACGCAATATCGCGCTTTTATCAGTAGGTTAGGTACTGACATTTACCTATGGGATTCAGCATTATGTGACTGACAGCACGTCTGTGCTTTTGTGTGATTTGTGATTCCACATATAAATCCAATGTAAACCCACCCCTCAGAGCCGCCATTCGGTAACACACGGTCGTTTACTTCCCCCCTGCTCCTGGCCTCCCTTGCAGCGCTAACGAACCGCCCTAGCCGCGGGCAGTGGGTCGCAGGGTGGTGTCAGAGCTGCGGTATCGACTCAGGAGGGGAGGGGACGACCACCGGACACACACGGCCTGTTATTACCCAGCGCGTCGACCACCCTTGGAACCGAATGGCAATAATAACAGAGTCAGAGTGACATCACATTACGCAGACGCGCAGTGTTCCTGGAACGGCTACGACAAACACTTGGCCCATCACAACACACCCAAATGACGTGTGAGAGGGTTGGGCAGAAACAGTCTGCCAGGCTGTTCAGAAACTGCTCGGGAATTTGCAGATTGTGATTTGATGAGATTTGAAGGTCTAAGCCAACACTCAACTTCTTCGAAAAAAAATCCCCTTCAGAGACGAAGCAAGCACTAAAGGCAGTAGCGGCGGAACACGTTCAATTAACCCTCGCCGGACCTATTGGTTTTCTACATACGCGCCGGCCGAGGGGGGGGGGGGGGCGGGTACGACCCCCCCTCGCCGTTTCGCCCCTGGTGGAGCTAGCGCGTCGCGGAAAAAACGAGCGTGTGCGCCGTTACGAGACGCAGAGATTGGTATCCGATTTTAAGGTCCTAGGTCAACCGGTGACCTCTGAGGTCAGGTCAAGTGCCCCAAGGTACGGTTCAGTTTTTGGTGAATAACTTCGCAAAAAATGGCCGCAGAGCGCCGATTTTGGCAGCATCGTGTTTGCCTCGTCCAGGCGCGTCGAATGATATACTTTTTGTCCGGGTCAGGTCATTCTGGGGTGTTGACCTCAGGTCAAGGTCAGGTCAGCACCCCAAGGTCACGAAGTTGGTCGAAAGAGGTCATGTCGCATATCATTCGATTCGGCAGGCCTTCCTGAGTCCATTGGTGGCTTTCTCGACTCGCTAGCTCAATTTGATCAAGAGTTATTGACGAAAAACTAAAATGACCTTGATGACGTCATAAATGACGTCACGCAAGGTCAACATTGCAAAAGTGACGCATCTTACCTTGCAAGGAGTGCATCAAATCACGATTCTGTGTGCTTGAGATAGTTGGAGATCGTTCCCGGCGCCAGAATAGCAGTTTTCATTTTTCCCCATTGACTTATAATGGTGAGGTCACAAAAATGACCTGACCTCATATGACCTTTAGGAAAAATCAGAGATATACAAGTTGTGGGACTCATAATGGATACTAGATCCTGCAAGTCTCATTTCCCTGTGACATCTCTTCTGGCAGTGAGGGCGTTGCGAAGTTGCGACATCTGAAGACCGTGCAGAGGTTCACTTATGACGTCATAGGTCAGTGACCTGACCTGACCCAAAAATGCGGTTGGTGTCAAAAGATGCGGCTTGGATCAAAGGTCAGGTATGCCAAGTTTCAGCTTTCTATCGCCAGCGTGTTCGGAGCTATCGCGAAAAAACCCTATGGGGGGGGGGCGGCACCCGCCCCCCCCCTCGGCCGGCGAGGGTTAAGGGGGGGGGGGGCACTGCCGACTTTTGGTCCCATTCTTTCCATGCAACGCCCATAGAGCTAATGTTAAAATGCCAAAATCAAAGGGGGGCACGGTGCCCCGGTGCCCTCCCCGTTCCACCGCCTATGACTAAAGGAAACATTTACTCATCAGGTATCAGGGTTGGCATTTCCAAAACTTCTAAGCGGATCAAACTGCAGAGATTGGTGTTCAACCCACTCCCACCACCGGATGGTGCCCGAGAGTGGGAACCTCCGGCGCGGCGGGCAGGTGTTTGGGGTCAACGCTCTGGAACTACAGCCTCTCTGCCTGGTAAACTTTTGATCCCATAAATCCATCCAATCAGAGAGACTCACGGGCTTCGAATACTTCAGAGGCTTAAGTCCAGGCTCTTGTTCAACTTACTAGTGGTGTCAATCGGTTACCGAAAAAATCGGTTACCGAAAAGATATGCTGACCGATTCGGTAATCGGTCGGTCAGGCCCCCCAAAAATCGGACACTTTCGGTCACCCTGTCAGTGAAACCATTTTCAAAAAGAGAAAGTATTCCATTTTTGCCTAGTTAAAATGAAAGTTATTGGGATGTTAATGATAAAGTTGCAAAATTTCCCCCAAATACTACAAGGGATGCCATGTTTTGGCAACTTCAGTAGCCATCCCACTCAGCAGGCAGCAGCCACCAATTGTCCAACCACAACCACAAGCAGGCTGATTTTGACTCAGTTGGCCCCACAAATACACACCATTGTGAAACTCAGTTCCAGTCTTTAACTGTAAGTAACTTCTACCACAAAATGTATTTTGCAGTGGCTAAGAATTGACTGAACTTGGACTGAAATGCCATTTCCCATTAGTTTCCATCAGAATTTACCAAATAATTCAATTTTGGGGTAGAGTAATAGCAAATAGAATTTCGGTCAAATTTCGGTCAAATTTTGGCTTGGGATGTTATCGGTCGGTATTCGGTCGGAAATTTTTCCCAAATTTCGGTTTCGGTCGGTATCGGTCAGACATTTTTTGGAAAATGACACCACTACAACTTACCTACATTTGCGCGGGCACGTACAGAGCTTTATGCGACATTAGCTCCAATAAATGAATACATATTTTTTAATGTCGCACATCTTGAGTTGATCTATGATCATTGATAGCATATCAAATTTATGTTATCGTAAGTAGGAGTTAAATTCTACTCATTGCCAGGGCTAGCTTATTTTACATACATGATTTACTTAATTGTTTGAATTGAATTGAACGGAAAGAAAACGCCCATTTTCACAAACATGTTATTGTTCAATTAAATTCACATATGTTTGTAGGCCTAAAGAGTGATGTTACCAACCGAAAAGCCATACAACCGGATGCCTCCACATCCACTGTTGGCCAGCTCTGATCGTGACCGTGGTGACTATGGATTGAGGCGAGGGCCCTTCACTCATCGATTGGCCCAACAGAATGAACAGGCCCGGCTCGGATCTGTAGTTAAATCGATGGAGCGGTGAAAACATCCCCAGTGGCACAGCCGAGACCAATCAAAGTGCGTATCAATTCAACAGTAGCGGCCGCTGCATTAGCTCACCGAATGGTCACGCGTGCAAAATGCTACTGCAGTTTTGAAGGCGGGATGTCACGTTCAAATAAATGTTAGAAGTAACGATAACTTATTGACACAACGATCGCAGCTGCACGCGATCGTTCGGTTCCAGTGCTTGTCCGCCTGGTTGACGTCAAAGCTGTAAATAAGCAATGCATCAATGTACCAATTTTCAATGATGTTAGGGTGCCACTTCCATCGTGCAGTATTCAACCATCGAATGACGGTCGCAGCGCAGTTGAATATTATCATTTATCGCTTCAACCGGTTGTACCGTCTCGACCAATGAATGCACGCCCATCAACCATTTACGATTCGATTTGGCGCCGCCGCCTCCGCCTGCAGGCTGACCGTTGCGGCGCTGTGGGCCCGGCCGGTCGGTTAGGTCAGCCAGGTAGGGTGTGGGTCAGTTTAGTCGGCCGTGACCGCTGAGCGGCCACCGTTTGACAGCTCGCCAGTTCGACCTTCACTCGATCGACCCGATAATTATGCGGCCGCCACTGCCTCTGTGTGTCAGCTCGTGGCTGCGTGTTGGTGCGTATTACAGGCCACCGAAGCGGGCCGAGCCGCGAATGATGGCCCGCTCGGGACGGTGGGACGGGGCTAGGGTGTCATCTGAGCGGTTCGACATCGATTACAGGATAATCGGCTGCGCTATCAGCTATGACACGCCGGGGACGTGACTTCATCAACACACAGAATGGACCGGTGGCGGCGGGCTGCAGTTTCCATCGGAGTAGAACCACTTGACACACCCACTTCATGATTTCATGGACAATGTAAAGCGCACTTACCTTGCTTAATCTGATATAATTAATCGTTGATTAACATAATATAATTCCTAAAACTACGGTCTACGAGTAATTATGGAAATATTACGAATCTCCACATCCAGTGATTTTTTGATAGTTGTTTGTATAGTCTTCCGTTTAATCTTTGGAAAATGTAATCTTTGACCAGGCCCAATCTGCGAGGGCTTTGTAATTAGCTGGCTGATTGAAGTCACGTGATGTTTTTCAATGTTTTTCAGTCTGCGGCGAGCTGGACATAATGGACATTCTGCTGGACGCCGGAGCTAATCCTTCCACTGCCGACATTCACGGGGCTTACCCGATTCACTACGCGGCCCAGATGTGCGGACCAAACTCAGGTAAACAGCGACCGCACTGTGTATTCATGATTAATGACAATACTAGGTGGGACATGAATGTTTATTACGGCTAATGTTAAACTTGCTTTAATCAGGAATTGTTTAATTCCTGTTTAATTGAATTTAAGACGAAAGTCGATAGCATACGCAGCTTCGTTTATTATTCCAGTTAAAGGGACCCTCCCACCTTCAAAAAAGTTTATGAATTGGCATGAAAGTGATGTCGCTCGGTTCAGAAAGAGCGAAAACGAATATCTACCAAATTTCACCGAAAAATATTCACCGGTTTTCAAGATATTAGACTTTTACTTTTGTTTACTTTTTTGGGATCTCCGCTGTTTCTAGCGACTTTATTTTAGAAGTGCGGCGTTTGCGGCAGATGTTGCGCGCAAATAGCATATACCACCGCGTGCTACAAAACGTTTTAGTCAAACATTTAAAAATCGTTAGATATCTGCGCTGACGTCACACATTCAGAGGGGTATTCCTAAGCATTAGCCCCTCTGAATCAAAACGCTGCAATTTTGAAATTCAATATTTCCGATTTAAGGCATTTCTCGATGTTGTGAGTGCCGAAACCGGTAATTGTGAGCCAGGGACCCCATTTTGGCTATCTCAACTCAAATCTAATGTTAAGGTGGGAGGGTCCCTTTAAGACTTAGTGTTCGCAGCATCTTGAGTGTTAAATCTCTGTTCATTCAATTATTCTTATCATCGAAGAGCTAAATGGTACCTACCTACTTCGTCACGAATTCATACCTACACGCTGACAGCTCTAATCTCTCCACCAGAGATGGCCACAGACGTGCAGCTGGGGCTGCTTGCCCTGAAGAAACTGATCGCCCACGGCGTGGATGTCACCGTGAGGGATCACGACGGCCGTCAGGCCCTCCTCTGGGCGGCGTCAGCAGGTTAGTGCACTGTGCAGCGGCGCACAGTGAAACCCAACATCGTCAGCTGATGTTCAGAGCGAGACGGTGCCGGTTTCGTACACTGCAACACGGCTGCTCGGGAAATAAAGGTCCACTCTGCTAATTATGTGGAATTATTTATAGGCGCATGCAGGGCTAAATGATTTCCCAAGCAATTTTTTATGCATTATCATATATTGCGACATGAACGATATTGCAAGGAAAGGCAATCAATGAAGGCAGAATGGCCCACGCCTTTCTAATTTATTAAAAACGTTAAAAAGTATGCGCAATCCTTTGCTTATCCGCAGTCACTGAAGTTCTCTACGATACCTATCATGCCCCGAAGCATGCAATCAGACAGCTTGGATTCTAAAGAGACGCAAATAAGCCTGTGAGTCTGAGAACTTCTTCCAACTTCTGAGAAACGTTTGAATTCGCAACCACTTTTATAGCGAGTGCCAGCAGCGAATGTAATCTTCGGCACTTGCCTATACCCATTCGCAAGGTACTCGCAAAAGTTCGCGCTTAGGAGCTAGTAGTTGGCACTTAGCAAAGGAGAATACAGTATATGATACTCTCAGTTATTCAGCAGCACTCTGACCACAGTTTTGTGATGAAGTTTTCTGTTAATTGCTTTCAAACACCCGTCCTTAGATCCAGTGTTGAAATTAGATTCTTCCTTTACGAGTTTCCTTGTGGTACTTACATACCATCTCCAATGTGGAAATTTAACTAAGCTATTAGCTATGCTCACGTAGTCTGACACCATGCTCTCGAATCACGCAGTGAACCCTGGAACTCTGTTCCAATCTGCTGAAACACTCGCTATTGCTCTGACCCGAGCGTTTCGAGCAGTCCGACAATCCCAATTGAGACACCGTACCCTCGCTAGTTCCATCGACCCCGCTGTTCTGTGCCACCGGGACCGCCGTTCACGAGCGCACGGCCATCCCGCCGCCTCACGGGACAGGCGTGACGTCAACACAGCTGTGGGCGAGCGGTCGACCTGACCGTGTTACCACCGAGAGACGTCCTAAGGGAGACATACCGCCTCCACGGACAGGCCAGGATGGCCTCTGAGGGGGCGTGCTGCTAGAGGTGGAGACGTTCCTACCCTCATCATCAGGAGTCAGTTGCTGCTCAGAGTGCCGGCCGTGTAAAACCATCACTCAGAGCCTTTCCTTTGACCTAATCCGGGCCGGCACACTGTCACGCCTGCAGTGGGCGTACAAAGTTAATGAGCTCTGCGGTCGGCGTGGTCAGGTGATGACGGGTAGGTGGGCAGAGCTGCGCCCCAGGAAAGCCAATCTCAGTTCCTGTCTGCCCCTCAGATGGGCCGCGGAGCTAGCTGCCGACGTGACTGACTCAGAAAGCAGGGAGTAATACCTAGAGGGCTCAATGCTCAAAAGACGCGTGCCGCGTGGCAGTGAGAACAACTGACAAAATTGTTAACCGTTTGATGAGTGGACACAGCTGAAGGTGATGGAAAGTTTCTCTGACAAACGTAAATGAGTAAAAAAGTCGGTGGAAATGTAACCATAACTTTCTTTTAATTGTTTGAACGGTGAATGTAAAAAGCTTTTAATTTTCTATTGAAATTCAGTCCAAGCGGAAAATTAATTCATTTACATGAATGCCCGAAATATTTAATCCGAGACTTTATGCGTCACTCTATTGCGTTTGTAAAACACTCTTAACCCGCGCACCGACGGGGGGGCGGATATCCGCCCCCCCCCCTGGGGTTTTTCGCGAATAGCGGGAAAACCGCGGCGCGTAGCGCCGCGAAATTTGGTATGACTATTTCCTCATCAATTTTACACATGGTGTGCAAGTTTGAACCTCTTACCTCTTAAGGTCAGGTCACCAGGTCACTTTGAATGACCCAACCTCAAGTCACTTTTTTGCAACTTTGTCACCGTGCCAGAGCTACAGTAGATGTCGGAGGCCTTTGAAAGTCGCCGGATATTATTAGGTCATTAGTAGCTACAATTTGTATATCTCGGAATTTTGATATCGGTGACCTAAGGTCAGGTCAATTTCGCGACCTCCCCATTATATGGGGGAAAAATCAACTCCCTGTTTTTACCACTAAAACGGGTCGGAATGGCCCCATATACCATACATGACTTCATATACGATCAGCTTTCACTACCTTGAGGTCTGTTTTGCTGTTGGGCAGCTGTGAGGTCATGTGACGTCATCAAAGGTCATCAAAGGTTTTTGGCCAATAACTCCGTACAGGAACAAGATACAGACGCGTGGATGGTCTCATTGTGTTCAGCTCGTCAAGACGCATCGAATGATATACATGATGACCTCGAGGTCACGTGACCTGAGGTCAACCTTTGACCTTGACCTTTCGAGGTCAACATATATATCATTCGATGCGGATTGACGAGAGGATCACGATGATGCCCTTAGTTTGTTCCTATCTTGACTAACTCGAAAGTTATTCGAGAAAAACTCTGTCCATATCTAGCGCCGCCATTTTGACTTTTTCGACTCCTGTGACGTCATCTTTGACCTGACCTGAAAATGACCTTAGTAAAAATTGTAGATCTTGACCGTGCGTATCCGATGCCGTTTACCGCTTGTCGCTATCTTGCTTCGTTCTCGAGATCTCAGGGGGGGGGGCGGTCATCCGCCCCCCCCCCGTCGGTGCGAAGTTGGTGCAGACCCCCGTCGGTGCGCGGGTTAAACGATAAATTGCACAGTAAATAATTTGGAAATTGTGTTTAGTGACATTAAAACACCAACAAAAGGTGCAGTTACCGTTCAACCATCACGCTCTATCAATTACGAAGCATAATGCGGAAACGCTTGACTGCCCCCTTTCATGGAACAGTTCGTCATTCGTCACGGAATCAAGCTGTAACAAACGCAAACTGCTACCAATTCATACCAACATTCTAACTACCAACCCTTCGGAAACCAGGCCCTTGCGCTCGTCCAAAAGTATTCCTTTATCCAGATGTTCCATGAGCACCCAGTCGTCCTCTCGCTCTCTGCAACCAGCAATACCATACCTTCGAGCCAGCAGTGCTATACATATCTGGAGCTAGTAATCCTACCTCTGGAGCCAGCGACCGAGCCAGAAATCCTCTCCCTGGAGCCAGCGACCCTACCTATGGAGCCAGCAATCCTCTCTGGAGCCAGCAGTCCCATCTATGGAACCATCAATCCAATTTATGGAGCCAGCAATCCCATCGCTGAACCAACGATCTTTTTCCGAAATCAGGGATCCTAGCCGTCCCAGCGCTGGAGTCAACTGATTTCTGGACCATATAATACCAGTCCTGGAACAACATTTCACATCTGGAGCCATGACCAAGCCCTGAAGCCAACTGTCCCAACTCCGAGCCAATTTTTCTAACCAAGCCAAGAACCAAGAGCCTGGAGTCAGCATTCCCAATTGTTCCAGCTTGGAAACAATAATCTTAGCTGTCCCATCACTGGGGCCAGCAGTCCCTTCAGCAACTCCTGTCCCGGGATGCCACCGTCTCTCACTCACCGTTCGCCGTCCGTAACGGCCGCCGCCTGTCGGCAGAGACGCGGCCGTCAAAGATCTACTGTCCCTCAGGCAGCCCGGACGCCCTCGTGGCGCTGGTGAACGCCGGCGCCGCCGTCTCCGCAGAGGACAAGGACGGTCTCACTGGTGAGGACTGGGAGGAGGATCGGAGGACGCCGCGAGGAGGACAGGCGCGGCGACCGGCGCGGGCGACAGCTGGGGCGCATGTCGTGCTCGTCTGCTCATGTGTTCACGATTTGTTCACGGGTGATATCGTCAAATGTCTTGCTCCATTCACAGTTTTAAGCTTTTTAACGTGCATCTATTTTCCATGCATTGCTGACCCGTGATACGGGCCTTGGCACTCATCACATTTTTGCGTGATAATCGCAATTTTATCACAAGTGTTCGCCGTGTTTTACGCTTACATCACGTTTAAGCACTGTCACATTTTGTGCCTGCTTGATAAAAGTCCAAATTTTGACAGAGCCCGGTCACTTGAGCACTTAACCCCGTCACACAAGTCACCGCGCTTACCATGCTCGCTACATTGTCACTGAATTTACCAAGCACCTTCCCACTTTCAGCCGCATCACTCTGCCTGTCCCGTGCCGACCTTCACTACGCTCCATGACCTCCTGTGACCTTACGTGACCCGTGTGGCCACCCTCAGCGCTGCACTGCGCCGCCAGTCGCGGTCACACCGACTGTATCGACACACTGATCACCCTCTGCGGCGCTGAGGTGGACGTGACGGACAGTAACGGCTGCACGCCGCTCTTCTACGCCGTCACTCTGGGCCACGCCGACTGCACCGAGCTGCTTCTCAAGTGCGGCGCAGAGCCCAACCGGCAGGACCGCAAGGGACGCACGTGAGTGGCTGAGGGGGTGTGGTTGATTCATGCGGGGGATATGGCGTCTGCGAGATTGGAGAAATATTCATAGATTGTATGAGAGAACTGGTTCGCATGTCAGTGTCCGTCTGCCCATTCTTTCGTCCATCTGTCTGTCTTTCTGTCTGTCTGTCTGTCTGTCTGTCTGTCTGTCCTTCTGTCCGTCCGCCCGTCGGTCGATCCGTCCATCTGGTGTCTGTCTGCCTGTCTACGCCTGTGTCCGTGAGCGTTTTATTAGCCCTTGTCTTCAGTTGCCAAACAGGTGTCAGAACTAGCCGGCCGTCGACACGCCTCACTGGACCACCTGTTGCAGAGGTGTGAACTCTGACCTCTCTCTTGAACTTTCTTGATGACAGCATAATAGCGCAGACACGCCAGTTTTGAGGCAGCCGTGTTAGCTGTAAGCTAATATTCCCTTCAATTTACAAACAGAACGGGTTAGTTTATCAGTATTCATGCAATGGACATTCAAGAATCTCACGAAATGTCAAAGCAAACGTCTTATTTCGTAGCAACCCGTCCGCTGCATAAGCTAGGATCGTCCAGAAATCTTTCGTACGCCACCAAATATCAAGCATAGAACCAATTGCTTTAGGGATATACAGCAACAAAAACAACTACTTTTGACAATGGTGAACGGTGTGACAATCTGCATAAAGAAATCGCTGGGGTTTCGACGGTCCCTCAGCGCCGAACACCCTACTTATGACCGCAGACCGGCACACTGCGGTGCGGCCAAGGGTCAGATTGAGACGGTGCGGATGCTGGGGCGGCACAACGCTAACCTGTGGATGAGGAACGCTAAAGGAGACCAGCCTCTGCACGAATCGGTCCAGTCGGGCAGGAAGGAACTGGTCACGTGAGTATCTCAGCGCGGGAATCGGGATAGTGGGAGGGCATGCATAAAATTGGTGATCGGGACGGAAATGATACAGTGTGAAACGGCTCAATCAGTAAAAACTCGCATGCACAATTTTAACCTTAGTCAATGCTGAGCGTTGTTATACATTGTTTTCAGGAGAATCAAAGAGTGTGTGATTATTCTACGATTGTGTACCTATTTGCGCTGCATTAATGTCCAGTAGCATACGCATCAGCATTAGATACAAAAACAGTGTATTGAATTGGTAGCGGAAAAGTGGAGAGGCATTTTCCTATTCCTGCATGCCGACTGACCGCGTCCGTTTCGACCCGACACTACTATGCGGTCGGTCGCAAAGTTGTGCTAGCCAAACTTTCCCCATAGGTTTTGCCGGGGTCGAATGAATTAATGATTCATGAGTCAATGCGAGCTATAAACGGAGTAATTAGCCCGCAAACGAGTTTTCCTGATAACCTCATTTCGCTGAACGATCAGGGCGGCTCAGTGATGGCCCATGTGACGATACATTGCAGCTGCTTCATGGATTTTGTAATGCATCGTTACGAAGTCAATAATTTATGTCAAAGCTATTGTGAGCAAACGATCAAGTGAAGCGTTGCATCTTGTAGAGCAGCTACAACGACGAAATGAATCGTTGTGCCACACACAGCTCATTTAATTTTCCCTCTTTTCCCTCTGTTCACTCTTCCTATGCATATTTCTTTCTCTTTATCGTTTCCTCCCACCCCAGCTAACAAATCACGCCTCAGGCCTTTAGGAACAGCTACCATCAACCCCTGACATTGTTCTACATCCTGCCACCGCAGCTGGCTGCTTCACCACCGTCCGGAGGCCGTCAACAACCCGAACAATGACGGGCGGTGTCCGCTGCACGTGGCCGCCATCAACAACAACATCGAGATGTGCAAGGTGAGGACGTCAGACTCTGTAGAAATTGTAGATATAGATATTCTCAGATAGAAAGCAACAGCAGGTGTATTGATATTCCGGGTAGAAAGTCAACTCAGGCTACAGGATATTCCAGGTAGAAGACCACATCAGACCAATGGGTATTTCACGCAGAAGGCCACATCAGACGTATGGATATTCCGAATGGAAAGCGACAACAGACCTATGGATATTATGGATAGAAGGTCACGTCAGCCCTGTGGATATCCTAAGAGAGAAAAAAAACACTCCAGAAGCCGGCCTGGCATAAACGTATGTACAAGGCGAGGATGACAACGGAGCATCAGGCTTTTGCGTACCCAATGGATAGAAAAAAGAACACACAACAACTGATAATGTGCCACAGCGTTATGTAGCTGACGAGATGGCGGCTAGTTATAATAATTCTGGAAATACGAACGATGTTTAGCATTTTGCCGTGTCAAATATTTTGCCGCAAATGCACATCAGCTAGACGTTTCCTTCAAGTCATGTCTGTCCGCTTCAAAATGAAATGTTTCCGCACCACCCATCAATTTTGAACATTTTAGGCAGCTTCTTGTGGACATGAAAGACCTGTTTTCATCTCTCGTAGCAACCTTTGCACATACATAATTCAAATTTCCTGAAAGCTTTACTTATGGCGTACCGCACGCCACTCAAGGCTTGAATACTACTTTGCCGTTCATGGTCTCTAAGCATCGTGAGTGTCACCCAGCAAGCCGCGCATTAAGATCGCGAGATTACCCCTAACAGGCATTGATTTCGCCAAACTACCACACAAAATGGCGACTCGACGGCCGTCCTGATTCACCCGCTGAATGAGTCACTCAAGAATACTCCCCCAACTCACGCACACTGGCCGCGACTTCCCTCCCCTCCCCTCCGGGCAATGTACCCGTCTCGAGGGAGCGTTTCCGTGGTGAGGCGCCGACGTACAGCCCAAACTGGGTCACTGGTGCCGCCCCCGGCACGGTGTTTTGACGCGCTTCAGACCGGCCCCGCACACCCAACCCGGCAGGTTAGGTGTGCCGGTCGATACCGGTTTGAACCGGTCGATAGGTGCTGTTCGGTTCGGTCGATCGTGCAACATACTGCGACGTTGAATTGCATACCATTCGGGGTGCTTGGCTTGAATGCTGCTGGCTGCCACTGCGTCACAGAACTGGAACGCCAAACGTGCAGGTCATTTCGTAGGAATGAAATAGCTCTTCGAATAGACCATAAATGTCGGGGAATTCAGTCGTAAGGCTACACGCACACTGTAAACGATCAACGAAGCGTACCGCTATCTTACAGCTTAGAGAAGAGCTAGGCTTAAAAATTTAAGACGTTATATAATTGACATTAGCACACCATACCATTACTCATGACCGGGGGTCCCACTTTCACTTCATTTTGGCGAGCTAAAACGGTCATCGAGAGGATTTTCGTCCAGTTTCTAAGCTTCACAAAGTGAAGATAGACGCCTCGAATAGATATCCGTGCTCGTTAAGTCATAGCAGACGTGCCAACTCCGACCCACGGTGCGTGCTGGCATCATCAATCAAACAGTGGTCATTAATGACGTCAGAGGGAACTCGTGACGTCAAATTGAGCGGATAGACTGATGCGATCGTGACACAGCAAAATAAGACGACGTCGGTTCCGCTGGTGACGCTTTACATTGGCAGCCAGTCGCGGAGTAGTAAGGTAATTTTTGTCGAGGACTGCTAACAGTTTGTTCACATAAAGTGTCATACTGCACACATGAATACTGAATAGGAGGATGGCAGCTTGAATAAGTAGCAAGGACCGTCCCACAGTTTCCAACGAACGAATGCCGACGTTCTAAAGGACTCCGTCCGCTGGGGTGCAATCACAATGCAACGAGTAGGACATTGTGTGCAAGTACGTACCTCCTGCTATTTTCTTTCTTTGGTATCGACATATACCACTCCCAATAGACATTTCGCCTGAAGTGCCACTGTGTCGTCTGGTGGCAACTTTCAATGGCGCCAGCTGGCTTGCTGACAATGAATTACACGGTCATTGAACCGCATGAAGCAGTCCCTACTCATGTTCAACGAGGGCCCATGAACGCGAGCTACGTGTATCCGCAGTAGCCAGCACGCCATCCTAGGCAACTATGCATGAGTCTTACATGTGATTGTTATTACATGTGATGGTGGTTACAGTCACAGTGTACGAAGTCCTGACTCTGGTGCTTCGGTGATAGAAATAGGTGTGTATCACGGTAATCCATCAGCGCGGTCAGCTGAACTTTCATACCACTTTATTAATTAGACACAAAATTGTGTCTCCCACACGATAGGGTAGAACATATATACATTCAGACATAGATGAATTAGATACCGTCTACGTTTGTGGAAAACGAATGTGGTCCAACTAACTTTCTGAACCGATTAATATCACAAGTTCCAAGAATGACTTATGTGCTGAAAACCTTGCTTGCTTCAAAGCTACATATCGCAACCTAACCGCAGGCGTCGCCGCTCTGTTGGCTTGAAGGAGGCATGACGCGCCACACAGAGCTCACGTTGGACTAAGCAAGCAATAGGCGTAGCTGCGTAACTGCGTAGCACGACTACGCACTGGTTCACCTAGGCATTATGAAGGTGTAAAGTCCTAATCACTCGTCAGCACATCCTTTTCGGATGTTTTATAGGTAAAATGTTTTTATTCCGCGATTCGTAATCCCAGTTCGCTCATTCGCTCATCAGCAGTTTCAGTATGAGCATTGCGGTACAGTATACCGTTCAGGCGCTGACTTCCACTGCCATCTAGGGAGCGGGGATGGAAGCACTGCATGTGGGTGCTGCGGTGCAGTACACCCTGCAGGCAGCGACCTCTGCTGCCATCTAGCGAGCATAGGTGAAAATACAGTGAGCGTTGCGGTGCAGTATACCCTCCAGGCAGCGACCGCTACTGCCATCTAGCGAGCAGAGGTGAAAATACAGTGAGCGCTGCGGTGCAGTATACCCTCCAGGCAGCAACCTCTGCTGCCATCTAGCGAGCAGAGGTAAAATTACAAAGAGCGTTGCGATTATGGCTGCGGTGCAGTATACCTTTCAGGCGACAACGCCTCCTGCCATCTAGCGAGGGGAGGTGAAAATACTTTCAGTTTCGCCGGGCAGCGCGATGCTTGCAGCTTTGCGGTGCACTATAATTTTTAGGTTTTGTCTCGTATGTTTTGTAGGGTAAGACCCTTGCAGTCAACGAGATCTCAGAGCCAGAAAGATTATGAAAATTAGGGACAGACACTGGTGTGGGCGACCAACCTGCAGTGCGCCGCCCCGCCGCGCCGGGCCGTCACGCGCGGACAGGCCACCCAGCCCCGCTAACGGTCACCCCACTGTACGTGAGGATGCACCTGGGAAGGATAGAACAGAGGGAACGATGAAATTTCTGGTTATAATGTCTAAGTACTCCATTTGCCGACCGGAGATGCAAATAGTGTCGGGAAGGTTCTGGAAAGTAGCTCACCACAGCGTTATTATTGCGAGACAAAAGTTGACTCGCGAAAGGACAATGTTTTTACCAAATGCGCATTGACAGAGACCCGCGGGGGCGTGAAGGTAGAGCTGGAAATCCACCACAAGCTTGTTCTCGATTACTGAGGGTTACAGTGAGGGGAATGGGATGGAGCACGAAGAAATTCTTGTGCTATGCATTTGGTATATTTTTATCTTTTCTACTGCATCTGCGTGACACTAAATGTTGTTGGTATTTTAGTCTCATCTTCTCCATTCATTTTTTTCACCTAATTACTGATAAAAGATGGCTAAGTTACGAAAAATGAATCGCATAAACATCTTGCACAGATCATCGCCTAGACGCATATGTCGTAAAATCAACCACTGTGAGACGTCCAAAAAAATTCGGCCCGAATCATGCCGAATGAACAAACACGTCGATCGGACAAGCGCGGATTAGAGTCAGATTACCTGGATAATTATACTTTGTTTTGATGCTGAATGTGGTAAACACGCTACAATGAGCAGCCAGAAATTGATGGGTGGAAGCAACGGCAAATAGGATGACAATGTTATTCAAAGCACAACTATTTCATGTTTGCGCAAACAGTCAGTTTGAGCACAGGCAGTTATGTATCTCGTTGTAATGCATTAACCTCTGAATAGGAAGAGCAGCATTAAGCCATTCAGTTTGTTTGTCGCTATACCGCCAGTGGCAGGTCCCGCTCTCACTTTTCTCTTCTTGGTTGACAGTGCAAATTAAAAATGAAATTGTTTATAATAGTTGCAGGAACAGTTGTCAAAGTGCAGTACGAGTCACATTTCGCGTTTATTCGTCATTGATTGCACTAAGCAGACCACGTTAAAAATGTATTGTGCTCACACCGGCCGATATGCGGCCCAAACGGAGGATATGACATCACCCAGCGCCCGGCCGCACGTCATTGGTAATGCATTGGCCCCGCATCTGGCAGCACCCAGCTGATAAATAACGAATGCGTCGCTCGGGAACCAGCCACCATAGATCACAGTGGCTCGCAATCGACTCTGACGCGGCACCGTTTGACCTATCGCGACTTGCGCCGGTCTCTAATAGGGTGCTCCCAAAGGCACCTCACCACCTTCCAGGGTACGGAGAACCTCAACCAACCCAACGAACAATGTCATCAGAAGTTCTCCAATGTTTAGTTATCTCCTAGCCTGCGTGGTGTATGACCCATGGTGACGACGCGGTTCTTTCTCGCAGGTTCTGATGGACCTGCACGCGCACGTGAACCCGGTGATGCGCTCCAGTAAGGGTCAGCTGATGACTCCGCTGGACTCAGCGCTGTATCGCGGTAACCGGGGCTGCGCCAAGTACCTGCAGCTACACGGAGGGGTACCGGCCAGCACGCTGACAGACAAGGATACCATGATGAAGGCTCTCAGTCAGTGAGTATGATGCCGTAGGTCGGACTGCCTATGGGCGCTCTGATCTGCAGAGTTTATCATAGGCATCTCTTTTAGCCATTCGTAGACATTCCGACGGACTAAGGTACAGGAGTGTCACACTCAGCAACCGCACTATGCAAATAGCAGCTGCACCCGGCCATGAGACACGTTGAACCCAGCTTCTGATCATTTAACTCCAACGGATGCATAACCGGACAATTAATAGGACGACGGATGCATTTGTATTTCACCGGCATACGCTATTGCGCCGCTATTGTATTTTACCAGCGAGAACTATTTAACAATGCTTTACACGCGTCGAAACTGCATTAACTTGCTTGCCTAGCGCCTTCGTCCAGCGGTACAACGGCAGTGACCTTTATGCAGCACCAATGTTTACACAGCTCGGGACTGCACCTGCACTAGCTAATGACTGTTTGTCATGACTTCGCTTACCTGTGAGAATATCGCCTTATGTTTTTGCGATAAAGGTCATTAAAAACTTGTTCTATGCCGTTATGAGAATGCTCCACCAAGCTGTACAACTTTCTCGCACTACAACAGGATGTTACTAACAGCCCCCTCTCTCCTCTCTCTCTCTCTCTCTCTCTCTCTCTCTCTCTCTCTCTCTCTCTCTCTCTCTCTCTCTCTCGCTCTCTCTCTCTCTCCCCGAGCAGCAGCGCACTGAGCGAGTCCCAGACCCAGAGCGCGTTCGTTCTCTCGCCGGAGACGTACCTGAACCTAAACCTGTCCTCTGACGGCCTGCACTCGTCTCTGAGCTCGTACTTGCGCTCGGGCCCGTCCACGTTCACCACGACGCCGGTGGAGGACGGCGTGCAGACAGACCGGCAGCACACCGAGCACGCCGGCGTGCAGGTCAGTAGGGGATTTATACCTGGGTCAGTAGGGGCAATCAAAGGCCTCTTGCACCAAACTACCTAGCTAGGTAAAATCGAAAAACCGGTTTCAGAATAAGCTAATCTAACGGTGGTAAATTTGTTTGCCATAGCAAGAGGATTTTGGTGCAAGAGGCCTCAGGTCAGGTCAATGAGCGATGTACCCAGGTCAAGTCAGTGGGAAACTGCCCGTGTCAGGTCGTTGAGGGCCTACCTATGTCGGGTCAGATTTGAGGAAACACAGGGTGGAAGGGATATGTTCAGCGCTCGTGGCTTAGGACACGTCGTATTGAAGAAGGACGTGGGCCAGTGAGAACGTGCTAGCTGCTGACGTGTAGCCATGAAATGTATGCATTATAGAAAACTCAAATCCGGTCGAGTAGGGCTCCGACATCGATGGTTTATCATAGATGAACCAGCTAATACATGGCTTTATGTTGTATGACATACATATTGTGCAAACTGCAATGTGCAAAGTGCATCTCACTTTGGTGCATATTTCATTCTTGACCTTTTGCACTAAAATCGTGAGAGATTTGTTGATCGAAGCACTGTCTTATGTCCACCATGCACAGCTGTTGTTGTGATATCATCATAACTGGACCGAATAATTAAGTAGCTGTTGCGCCGCTGTAACGATCCACTGACCGGCTGGTCACGAAAGGTCACGTCAACAGTCTGTTATCCAGCTCGCCGGGTAACGCTCTACTTTCATTGGTCGCCTGAGGCCTATCGCGGTCACCGGCGGCGCGCACTGATTTCTCGACGACGGTATCTTAGCAGTGCTGTCTGCCATCAGTCATTGCGCCGCCGTCGAGCCGGTATTACCTGTCTGTTCTCGCCTTCCAGGGAAGGTGAAGGGTAGTGATGTAGTGGCTATTAGCTATTGCCCAGCTCTTCAAGTTGCCAGAGCCAGCACTCTCCGGCACCAAAGCAGAGGCGTTTGGTGGTATAGGACGAAACGGTTGCTGATTTGTTGAGTCTGTCATTGCGTTAGTGGATAAATTATTGTGACGGAAGCAAAACACAAACACGCAACTTCAGCTGTGATGTTATTCATTGTTCTCGCAAGACAAGTGAGCAGTGGAAGACTGTTTCCTGTTCAGCATCTGCCAGCCATTTAAATTGGGGCCAATCGATGTTGTTTGAACGCCATTTATTCGGGTGGCTGACATTTTAGAATCCGAAACGCCCCTTAAGAGGCCCTTTGCATAGCTGATGCTGGTCCACTCCTTGCGTGCTATTTAAGGGCTTCTTTATTTACCAAGATATGATCACGCGACCCAACCAACCATCCTTAGCCAACAGCCAGAAGGCACCACTTAGGAACAAAATCACTCTACCACATGTTTCTGTGGGACGCAGGCTATTAGGAAACCTCATCGGTGGACGGCAGGTATTGTGTTGATGGCGTTCGTGCAGTCTTTTGACATCCGTAAAATGTTTTACATGTTTCTATCCTCGCCTCAAAACGGAGACGGAACATCAGTGAACTTCGTTTACATTCACTTTCAGTGTTAACTACGAAGCACCAGCTGACCTAGACGCCTCAGTCGGCTTGGAACCATCGCTGGATTCTGCTTCTTTTATTGCATTCTTTGTCGAGTCAGTAGTGTCTGAAATGCTTGGCTTCTCCTCTGCCATGATGCCTTTAATCGGTTCTTGGTCTGGCATTTCCGTCGCCTCCGTTTCCTTGACATTCTCAGCGTCTTTATCCGTCTCCGCTTGGTCCTCGGGGAGCTCTGGTTTGAAAGCGCATACAAACACTCTCTGCTCCCGACAGTCGGCCATCTGCCAGTAATCCTTGTCCACATAACGGTACGAACAGGACGTATCCTTCATTCTATTATCGTCCTCGATGAACGTCGGCGGTCGGCCGTGCTTCCAGTTAGTGTATTCCACCTTTGAGCCGTCCATCCAGCCCCAGTTTTTGGGCGTGCGTCGGTAGCGCATCCCGATGTGATACCAGGAACCGTTGCCCACCAGTTTGTCCACGGCCAGCTCGTGTTCGCGGCTGCGCAGACTGACCAGCTTGCTGTTGCGGTTGTCGTTGCACCAGAGCTCTCCGTTGGCCCACTCGCCGACTAGACGCGGCGAGTGGTGGCACCAGCCGGCGATGGCCGTCCAGCCGCGCGGACACGGATTATCCGCCGTCGGCGCCGGCTCGGGGTGACGCGCCTTCTCCTCGTCCTTAGCTTTCTGCCAGGCGATCAGCGGCAGCAGCGGCGCGCGACACAGGAACGGGTACAGTCCGCCGCAGTTGGTCTTGATGAAGGATCCCTCGCCGGCGCCCTCACCGGCCTCTGCGGCGGCGCCGTCTCGCGCGCGCACCCGGACGCACCTGCGCCCCTTCTCGGGCGTCCTGCCGCCAAGGATGGTGACGTTGCTCTCGAGCGGAGTGCCGTCGAGCCACTGCCACTCGCCGGCCGTCTGGTTGTACTCGGCGCCCACCCACAGGTCCGTGAAGAACGCCGTGAAGTGGCGCACCTCGCGCGCGCTGATGGGGTGTATCAGGTGGCCGCCGACCGAGCGGCAGTAACGGCGCGCGCGGCGCTGAGTGGCGCGCATCCGGTAGGCAGCGGCGTAACAGGCGTCCTCCAGGCGCATCCAGGTGAGCGGACAGTCGAGCTCCTCGTAGGTCATGTCCTCGGCGGCGGGACACTCGTCGCCGTCGTCAGGACAGACGTCGGAGTCCGGGAGGGACACCAGGTGGTTTTCGGCCGCTGACCTCGCCTCCCGAGGGGTGCGACCGTCACACTCCAGAATCCCAGACTGGAGAACGCTGCAAGTGCCCGGCTTGATCGGCTCACCATCCTCTTCTGAGCCTCTCATCACGTCTTCGTCGGTAGGATCATCCGAGTCGTCTCTTGGGGGTGGTAAATTCTCCATGATTTCATTTATCGAGTCCTTATTTCCAAATTTTATCGAGTGGGTACCGTCATCATTTAAATTATCTTCTGTCAACATCTCGAGCGGTATGCTTTCACGAAATTGACCATAAACTTGGCAGAAATTTAGCACAAACATAGCTGTTAACAATTGCATCGGTAGATGATAGCGTCTATTCATTTTGGGAAACCAATGTGCCACACTGATGACCTATGCAATATAGTTGCTTTTCTTATGTTTCTTTGCTTTTCCTACGATGTGGGCACATTCAATGCAACGTAAATGTTCGTGAGAAGATGAGCTTTAGGACATGTAAATGCCGTCATCGATAAATTATTTCCGACAAGTTTGCAAAGTGCGGGCGCGGGAGGTGCAAATCAAGTGACTATAATTTCGATAATTTTTCACACCATTCGCGTGCAAACAGCGATGACAATCTTCCCTGAACAGAATACCACGACTGTAAAAATACAGATACGCAATGAAATTCAGAAAGCTATGGCCATGAACGTTATTTTATGCGGAGCATCGATTCCAACCTTATTAAATAGGCTAACTTTTGCTGGGGCGCCCTATACTTAGGTGAATATATTAGCAGATTAGGTACATAACCGTTCACATTGTACTTTGCAACTTGTAGTCCTATTCTGACCAACCGCATCTACTTCACGTAAGCGGTCACATGTCACCACCCACCAGCCCCGCTGTCCACTGAACACTCCCCCTTCCGCAGGTGGCCATGCCCGGTCTACACCAGCGCTCTCGCTCGACCGACGACGCCGCCTGGTGGCAGGATCAGCGCTCCGAGCGACGGGCCCGCCGACCGGCCGACGACACTCCCGACTCCGGCCGCGAGGACAGCGAGCGTCGACACCGGCGCGACCGACGCGTGGTACGCGACGAGGACGTCGAGGATATCCACAACGTGGAAGTGGTGCGCCGCCGTCTGCGCCGCGAGCTCAACACGCGGTATGTGGACGAGCAGTATGACTCTGGCCCTGAGGGACGCGATCGGCGGCACTACAGCGATGACGGACGGCGGAGACGACATAGCGGGAGCAGCGGGGACGAGCGGCGCACTGACCGCCACCATCGCAACAGGAGGGGACACGACGGCCGGCAGGAGCTGGACGGCGCGCGCTACCGCCGACACAGCGGCGAGGAGCGAGGCTCCAGGAGGTACCAGTACAGTGACGATGAACGGGGATCGCGCAGGAGAGAGTACGACGGGGACCACAGAAGCCAACGGCAGAGATACGACCACAGCGGAGACGAGAGAAGCTCGAGGAGGTATGATGATATCGACGACGACCGGCGCACGAGACGGAGGTACGATCACAGCGGGGACGAGCGGGGATCGCGACGGAAGCACTACAGTGACGACGAGCGAGGCTCGCGGAGACGCGAGTACGACGACGATCGGCGAACGCACAGAAGACGGGGCGCGGACGGAGACGATCACAATGCTAGACAGGAATATGACGGAGACGAACGCAGCACACGGCGAAAACGGGACAACAGGAGACATGAACCCAACTCACGTTATTCTGATGATTACAGCGAAGGTCACGACGAGGTCGGTCACACGCGTCGTAGTCATAGCGAGGACCCTCACGGCACACGCGGCTCCAGAGGCCCCTCTCGAAACGGAGACAGCGACCCTCGGCGGCGGCGACCCCGGCGTCAGGCCGCGTCAGATCCACCCGACCATCGGCGGCCGCGCGAGCTGAACGAAACCGAGGAGAAGGACGCTTCCGACCCGGACGAGCCGAGCCGCGACTCCTCTGAGCGTCGGCGCCGTCGCCGCCGGAGACGGCAGCGCGCCTCTGGTTCGGACCCTGTTAGTTCAGACGGCGAGGACGGCACTGAGCAGCGTGGAACGCGAACCGGGACGGAGCGGCGGCGGCGCCGAGCTGCAGGACACCGCGCCGCCGCCGGCGACGGCAGCCGCGCCCCGCACAGTGACGGAGACTCTCCGGCGCGAGCTGACTCAGGCATAGCGAGCGTGGAGCGCGGCGGTCAGCCCCGGTCGGACAACGACGCGCCGCCCCCGCGCCACGCCCGACAGAGGTTCGCCAGTGACGGCGAGCAGCCGGGGGCCGACTCACAAGGAGCAGCTCCAGCGACGGACGGCAGGCCGCTCCGGAGTGACGTGGCAAAGGCCGCGGTGGCCAGCAAGCTCGGTGAGGCGGCGATCAGCAGTCAGGGAGGTAAACTGTCTGAAAAGGGTGTCGGGAAGAGCAACATAGTTCACCCGGGCCAGGGTGACAGGCCCGGAGACGGCCAGAATCCGGCCGCGAGGAACGTGGTTCGGGGCGGACCGCGGCCTCTGGCGGAGATCCTCCCCAGTTCGGCCGACACCAGCAGTCACCCGACCCCACGGGCCAGCGGGATACGGCCCTCGCAGAACGGCGTGCCCAAACTCAAACGGGTCCGCTCGGCGAAGGACTTCAAGCAGATGCAGCGCGTGCCTAAGCTGGAGCAGGACCTTGGCTCGCTGTCCAAGGCGCAGCAGAACAAGCTTGCCGACGGGATGAAGGACGCAGACGCGGCCGCCAACGAGCAGGCTCTCAGGTGAGCCGATTCAACAGTGTCGCCCATGCAAGATGAGAGCGTTACCAACGGTTGCTATGTTTAAATCCCGTGCTTTATTTAAGTTACTATATGTAGCTTTATTCGTTACGTCAAGTTCTTAAAATTCCCTGCATATTCTCCATTCCAGAGTCCAGGCCGAAAAGAAGATATTCCAGGACCTGCTGGAGCTGAAGAGGGTGCAGATGAGGGTCAACAAGACCAATGAGGAGGCGTTCATCAAGCGACTGGCGGAGAACTTCAACGCCAGCGTCATCAAGCTCAGTCTCAAGAGCTTCAAGGGGCCGTATACCTACACCGCATACGAGGAGTACCTCAACAGTAAGCAGTAGTTTTGACATAGTTTGTTGTTGATGAAGCCTGGAGGTACACCAAAACTGTACGGTCAAGTATCGTACCAATTTTTAAATATACCGCCGTTGACTTAATCATTCGAGCCAGATCGAGTGTTCTAAAAAAAGTCAGCACTTCTATGCACCAGCATAAGTCGCGAGAAGTCGCGACCGTCCTCCGCTCCCACAACTTCACCCTGACCGCTGCACCGTACCCTGTCCTCCCGCAGCCCAGCTGAAGCACCTGCAGGTGCCGGCCAAGCGGCGAGCGGCCAAGGCACGGCGAGCCGAGGAACTGGCCCGTGTGAAGCGCTCTCTGCAGCGCGCCAAGGACAGTGTCAAGGATGAGGAGCTGCGTGCCGCCCTGCAGGCCGGCCAGGGCTGCCACCACGCCTCGCACGCCTACACGGGCATCCCGTGCGTGGCGTACAGTAAGTTGCCCTGCTGGCAGCACCGCCGCTGGCGTAAGTAGGGAGCGGGCGGGGCCGGAGCTAGCAGCAGCAGCCGCCCGAGCCGACCCGGCCTGCCCGGCACCGGCGCAGGCGGCGTGTCACCTGACCTGACCTGGGGCGATACCTACTAAGTGATGATATGAGGAATCGAAGCGGGCTGTAGTATAGCGTTGTTTGGGGTAAAGAGCGATGGGGCACCAAAAGCAAATATCAAATCATGAGATCAAGGTCAAGAAGCCAATAATTGGCACGGACCATAGGTAAAGTTCTCAGAGTCACCATCCAGGTCAGGTCAGGTCCTGTAACGCCACCAGCCGCCGGAGCGCCTCCATTGAGAGCCACATTGGTGACTTGGTCTGAGCAATCCACTGCACACTCGGCAAAGCATGTGATAAAGCATGAATGCTGGATGCAATTAGTGCATGCGTTCGTAAAAAAACATCAACCTCTGGTTAGCCTTTTGTTCCATTAGCGCAAAGAAATAATGCACCTGCAAATGTCACTTGCTCGGCATAAGGCATGATAAATATGTCCAAAATGTGTAAAAAAAATGTTTGCTTTGAAATGAGAGCTGGAGAATCGCGCAAGATATGATTAGCAGAGCATGTACGTTTTGTTCGGCTCAACGTAAAATAGTAAATACTTTAATTTAAGTACACTTGCATATGCTAGTATGGGTGTTTGGAACTTTGCACATATTAGGTATCACGCGCATATACTCATCCACTTTCCCACCTAGGTATGCATTGCCAGGGGTGTAATTTTCCGAAAATGATTGTGTGTGCCCAGCTGTAGAGGCGCCAGGCTGCTAAGGGGCGCAATGGATATTCTTTATGTGGGAGCCTAAATTAACACCGAATTTTATAACATCAGGGTTTGGTGTTTGTATATTTGTTCATGAACAGTTCGTGAACAATGTTCATATTTGTTTGTTTATTTGATAGTTTACGAATTTTGGCATTCAAGGTCACATGTTCACCAACGATTCTCTGTTCACGAACAGTTCGTGAACGTTCATGAACGTTCATGAACAAGTCATCATTTCTGAATTCTGATATCTTTCGAGCAATTGTTATCATAAGGTGCAGACATGACTGCAGGCATGTTTTACATGTGTAAAATGCACCAGTCATATCTCAAGCACATGGAATCGTGATTCATAATTATTTTTGCAACGCTGAGGCTTAAATTGTGCATTTAGGACCTGGCATGACGTCATATAAGACGCCACTAAGGTTGTTTGGTGCAGTAGGAGCTTTTCGCTAATAACTTCCGATCGAATTGAGCTAGCGAGACGGTTGAGCCATCAATTGACTCAGAAAGAACTGCCACATCGAATGATATGCAGCATGATATCCTCCATGCAGCTTTGTGACACGAGTGGCTTTGACCTGACCTTGACCTGAGGTCAACATCCTAAAAAGACCTAATCAAAACAAAAAGTATATCATTCGAGTTTCGACGCGCCTAACCACGACGAGCACGATGGTGACACAATCGCGGCTCTGCCACCATTTGTGGCGAAGTTACTGACCAAAAACCAAACCCCTACTTTATGACACTTGACCTGACCTCAGGGGTTGGTGTAAGACCTTGAAATCGGATACCAATCGTTGTGGTTTGTTAATTAAGACGCACACGTTGGCTTTTTCCGCAAGGTTCTAGCTCAATTAGGAGCGAAACGGCTTAGGAGGGGGTCTTTCCTGTATGTTTGATGCAGTCTAGCAATGCAATCCAGCCATCCAAGAAACTTTGCGCGAGACGTTTTCTTGGATGGTTTTCTTGGATAGCTTGATTTCATCGAGGGCTTCTGTTTTAAAGAAAATTTGTAAGCTTTGCTGAAATGTTGAGTAATTAGAACTGCCAGTATTTCAGTATCTAACGTGTAGTTATTGTTACTGTATTTTATTTATGCATATTTCGGCCTTTTTTAAGCAGATAACGAACGATATTAAGAAACATACAGGAAATAATTACGAGCGAGCGAGCGCAGCGAGCGAAGTGAGTCTTTTCAATAAACGGAAAAATCTCAGTATGAGCGGCCCGGCCCGGCCCGGCCCGGCCCGGCCCGGCCTGTAACGCTTTTGAGAGGCTTATATCTCAGCAACCGCTGGACCGATTGGCCTGCGGTCTTTTTTGTTGGGTAGCCCCATCCCTTCTACCCCGTAATTGACTACTTTTGATACATCTCAGTGACCATCGTCGCACGTGCCACGTGAAAAGTCAAGGGTGTTCAAGCTGTTTTGCAAAAGTAGTGATTTTGAGAGGCTCATATCTCAGCAGCCGTTTGGGCGATTGACTTGCGGTAATTTTTGTAGGGTAGCAGCATCCCTTCTACCCAAAATAGGATACTCTCGATGCATGTGGCTCACCCCCAGTGCACGTGCAAAATACAACAATAAGAGGTGCCAAATTTGTTCCCATTTCAGTAACTCGGTAATTACTGGGGCGATTTCGCTGAAACTTGGCATACAGGTAGGCGCCCACCAGGCAATGCATTCCCATGTGTTGCGGTTAGGGTGTTACTGCACGTGCGCACGTGCAGGGGGCGTTTCCAGATCTCGAGAACGGCTGGGCCGATTGCGCTCAAATTTGGTACACGGTTGGGAACCAGTTAGTAGGGTGCCGTGCAAAAGTCATTTTGGACCCGTTTGCACGTGCGCACGTGCAGAATGCCGCTTCCAGATCTCAGGAACGGCTGGGCCGATTGCGTTCAAATTTGGCACACCGTTAGCGACCGGTTAGAAAGGTGCTATGCACAAGCCCGTTGGAAGTATACCCTATCGCCCTTCCGCACGTGCAGGGCTCACTATCTCGCTCGCTCGTTCTTCGCCCAAAAGGCGTTTTACTGGTATCTAGGACTCTACCGCGACGAAATATTTCTATCTCGAGTTTTCAAAGAATTTCATGCACTCGGCCAAGGCCTCGTGCATGAAATCCTTTGAAAACTCTCGATAGAAATATTTCGTTTTCGCGGTATCGTCCAAGAATGTATATTTCTACCCCCTCTTTACCGTGTTCGCGAACAGTTCATGAACGTTCGCGAACTGTTCGTTGTTTGTTTACCAAAATTTGACCGATGACGTCACTTGTTCGCGAACACATTCCTTCGTGAACAGTTTGTTTATGTTTGTTTATTTGAAAAATTAAACAAACACCAAACCCTGTATAACATTGCTAGCCGAAGCGCGCTTCAAGTGACATGTCTGACTAAGGCTAAGCAAATACACGGTAAAAAGTGTAAAGTGACCGGAAGGGCGTCAAAAAAAAAAAAAATGTAGAGGGGCGCCACCCAGTTAACACCGAACTTAAGAGGTCAGAAGGGCGCCGAACAGTCAGTAGCGCTAAGTTGGTGGTGACGCCTTACTAGAACTGATTAAAAATCAGTTCTATCAGAGCCTTACCGAGTGATTAAAAATGCTATATGATCTTGGGGCGCAGAGAGGTCAGAAGGGCGCCGAACAGTCAGTAGTGCTAAGTTGGTGGGGACGAAGGGCGCCAGACGGTTACGAGGGCGCCGTGAGACCATGAAAAGGGCGCCATTCTCCTATAAGGTCGCCGAGTGATTGAAAACGTTATATGGTCCAGGGGCGTTGAGAGGCCAGAAGGGCACCGAACAGTCGAGGGATGCACGGTGGACACTGGACAGAAACAGAGACATAAGGGCGCGAGACGGTCAGGACTGAGGGCGCCGTTGCCCGTTAGACCATGAGAATGGCGCAGTGCTGTCAAAAGGGCGCCATTCTCCCAGAAGGGCGTCGAGTGATTAAAAACGCTATATCCTCCAGGAACGCGTGACGGTCAGGAGGACGCCGTTAGAGCATGCGAAGGACGCCGTGCTGTCGAAAGGACGCTTATAGCTCTGTAAAAGCCTTGTGGGTGCATTTTCATCATTGTGAAGGCATATTTCAGGATTGTGGGTGCATCTGCCCCACAAAGAGATATAAAATTACACCCCTGTGTACCTATTGGTGCACACTGCACATCCATCGTAATTCATATGTAGGTAGGTGCCAATATTTACGGGAATATTCTTACAAAATACCTACATTTGTTATGGATTTACATAAATTTATTTTACATAGATGTGCCGTTCACCTAATGATATTGCGATAATCTGACAGTCCTGAAGAAAAGTCGCTCCAGAGCATGAAGTTTTTTTAGTTGATCATTTTTATTTTGTTCGTGCTCTCAGTTGCGGAAACACTAAACTCGAGGTAAGGTAAGGGCAGGTCAGGAACGGAAGGTCACGTTGTGCTGCATAGGTATGCGACGCAAGGCCTATTCTTCACGCCCTACACGATGGTCATGGACGGTTATATCTAACACCTTACTGAGCGGGGCAGGTAAAAAGTGCAAATCAGCCGATAATATCGGGACCCAATACCAGCCGCGGGACAGACATGGGACGGTCTTCGGACCGGATCCAGCTCGAGGGCCTGAGATAACCTATTTTATAAATTGTGACCATATTTGGATACGCAAAAAGCACACTGCAGTTTATGTACATAACCAAAAAGTGAAGTGTTGAAACATAAAACTATATCTAGCGTAAAAAGATACCAATGACGCTAAGAGCTTTAAAAGAGCGCCGTCTATTTTATCACCTATGTTTACTTTCAGCTGTATAGTTCAATTCTCTGCCGATTTCGTTTATGCACAGCACTGCTACCTCAGCACTACACATGCTGAGGACCAATTTTAACGGCAAGGGGATGACCCCATAATTCACGTGACCCCACGATTGTGCAAGGCACCAGGTCGCGTGGCGGCTGCTGGTGGCGGCTCACAACGGCTTATGAAATGGGGAGAGCGAGAAGAGTGGGAGAGCAAGTAATTGATAGTGTGGGAGAGAGAGAGGGAGAGAGATAAAGAGAGAAACAGAAAGAGAGAGAGAGAGAAAGAGAGAGAGAGAGAGAGAGAGAGAGAGAAAGAGAGAGAAAGAGAGAGAGAGAGAGAGAGAGAGAGAGAAAGAGAAAGAGAGAGAGAGAGAGAGAGAGAGAGAGAGAGAGAGAGAGAGAGAGAGAGAGAGAGAGAGAGAGAGAGAGAGAGAGAGAGAGAGAGAGAGAGAGAGAGAGAGAGAGAGCATGAAAGGAGAGTGGCATATTTTGCATCAAATCACTGCTTTCACAGCTATAATTTCAAGGAAAAGCTTCTTACAGTTTTTGCTGCGAATATTTTTGAAACAATGATTTAATACTCGTTTTCACGAGTTACTTTTGCAACTCATCTAACATACATTTCATCCACAGCATCATGATAATAAAGTTAACACAATCGTGCTTGTTGTGTGTTTGAACCGTAACCCGCGGAACAAATGTGTAAGACGTTTCCCGGCATGACCGGAAAGTGAATGATTTTCGTAAGCATGTTACGTGACATGTCACCTGTCCCGCTCCACTCAGGTCGTTTGTCCAGTTAGTATACACATGAGTCAAGCGTTCATGGAATGTGCTAGCTCTCGGTCTCCATTTTTATTGTCCGCAGATGTCCAGTGTTTAATACATTAACCCGGCAGTTGCTGGGGTATTTCGCCACCCACCGTTTGCTGGGGGGGGGGGGGGGGCGTTAAACGCCCCCAGCCGATAACTCGAGAACCAATAGGCGCAACGAAACGCACGAGGCGGCAAACGAAAGAGCGCGATGAGACGCTTCAGATGAGTACTTTAAAGTTGAGTTTTGAGGTCACAGGTCGGGTCAAGGTCAGGTCAAACACCTGAAATCGGCCTTTCAGTAGCATGGACTTCAGGACTTCGCAATGGGCGCCTCTCGTCATAAACTCTGTCAAAATGGTGCACAATCCATCGTATAAGGCCTACAAGAGTGTCAGCTCCATGTAGGGGTCAGTCAAGCATAGGTCAGGGTCAAGGTCAGGTCAACCGGGTAGGCACATATCCCCGAAAATCAAAACTGATATTCGCATCCCGTGACACATGTTTTATGGGTAATTTGGGGCGTAGAACACGATGGTGACATTCATTTTATCATATGTGTACGTGTTTGGCTAAAAAAGTTTAATTTAAGAAATGCATGTATCATAGTCGTGAAGTAGTCACGAGAAATTGTCAAGATTCAGTTCAAGATTTTGGAAAATGCGGAACGATAATCAATAATCGAAGATAGCCATTTGATTGTTCATGGTATTGGCAGTCTAATGGCGTTTACGGCATGTCTGTATGTCTATTCTGTGATTTTATATGATTTTTTGAACATACGCCGTTTTTGGTCGAAAATTCAAAAATCATGACGTCACTAAAACCTCGATATCTCAAAAATTTTCCGACCGATTTTTTTGAAACTTTGTCACAATAAACTTCAATCAATTCCCTACAGGTACCCAACATTTGGCGCGCCTGCGGCGCGCCGTTTTTATGCTATGGCCCGGCGAAAAAAGTGGGGGCGTTTAACGCCCCCCCCCCCAGCAACTCGCGGGTTAAAGGGACCCTCCCACCTTAACATTAGTTTTGAGTTGAGATAGCCAAGTTTGCGGCCAGGCTCAGAAACCACCATTTATCCTGGTCGCAACCCCCGCAGCTTTATGGTGTTCAAGAAATTTCTTCCCTTTACTTGCAGGGTGGGACCAGCTTGGTCCCTATCTCTTAACCATTACGGGAATCTGATGACGTCATCAGGCTTTCGAACGTCCGTTAAATGTTTGACTAAAACGTTTTGTAGCACGCGGTGGTATATGCTGCTTTGCACGCAACAAATGCCGCACTTTCAAATAAAGTCGCTAGGAACAGCGGAGATCCCAAAAAGTAAACAAAAGTAAAAGTCTAATATCTTGAAAATTGGTGAATATTTCTCGATGAAATTTGGTAGATATTCGTTTTTGCTCTTTCTGAACCGAGCGACATTACTTTCATGCCAATTCATTAACTTTTTTGAAGGTGGGAGGGTCCCTTTAACGTAAGCTCCACATCACCGCTGACACTAAACCGATCTAACACCGTGTTTTATCCGACAGTCACCAAAAACAACCACCACGGCGCGGCCAAGGCACCCACCAAGACCATCCTGCCCAAGATCAACCCGAGCACACAGCTGCCTGAGCCTGTCGACCTGCGCTCGTACGATCCGAGCAAACCGCTCCGGTTGGAGCTCAACCACGGTGGTCAGAAACAGGCGCTCGAGCTGCCCACACAGCTGCTCGACAAGAACAGGAAGTACCAGGTGTCGTTCAGCATCCGACCGACCGACGGCGGCGGCACGGCGGAGGGAGGGGCGGAGAAACCCCCGGGCGCGGCGACCAACGAGCGCGGCGCCTTCAGCGACGGCGAGGCGGCCGCGCGGACTGAGAGACAGGAGCAGACGGGTGGGTCGGCGCCCGGCGACCCCGACCGGCACACGCACGCAAAGTCGCTGTAGGTCGACCGGGGCGACGGACAAAGTCCGGCAGAAATCGAAACGGACCACCAGTGCGGAACCTTGTCAAACATTGCTATTTGTGAAACTTGTGATGTGGCGTTCTTCGCCCGCGAATCTCCCTTTGCCATATCTACGCTTGGGATCTGATGTGCTGATCTGCGTTTGTCGAACGTCGCCTATCGCGTCTCAACCCAGGACTTTTCTCTGTCGTTGTGACGCCGGCCGGAGATCTGTTTGTTTGTTGCGGGCGCCTCCTGGGCTGGCGCCGTAAAGGGGGACGATAATTGTTGCATCGCGAATTATATTTATCGTGAGTTTCTTGTGATGTTGCCAGTATTGAAATAATACAATGGCATGGTTGGCTTTTGAAGAACACAGCGTTCACAGATCCGAAATGTTTCAACCGGTAACCGTCAACCAAATGAATGCTGATCAGTTGAATGAAGTATAAACGGTAAACCAGCCATGACACTTCGACGGATCGAACGGTGAACCAATGGCTTTGGTCTGACCAGCCCATTGCAGGGTCATGAAACCAGAAACGATAACATTAGTAGGGGGAAACATAAAACATTGCGTGGACAGAGGCGAGTACTCTGTACTTAGGTAGGTAATTGTTAGCGCCCTCGCCCGCATGGAACAGACGCGGTCATCCAGTCGCGTCAAACGGCCACCGAAGAGCGGAGTGCCGACGCCGAGTGAGCTATAATCGGAGCTGACACTTATAGATACCGGTTACCTGCTGAGGGATGTGGATGACCGTCAAACCGAAAACGGGTGCCGTGTGATCAACCGCAACGAAGGGGATGGTTGATCCCCGGGCACGTCCTAACCGTTTGATGATCCGGCGCGGATCACTGATCCCATGAGGCGAGCCCAGAAGGTACAGGGCGTTGAGTCATGATGATAGTCGGCACGGGAGAGTTGTGACCTCAACCGGTGGCTTAAAGCTCGAATCACGAAGGGCTTGCGAGGATCGATGCATGGACTGGACTGAGTACCGAGCACCTATCTTTATGGAAATAAGCTATTGGGTTTAAGATTTTTTAAGAAAGCACGGAGTCTGCACAAGCAAATTTTTCAGTTATTTTACGCTCATTAGGACAAGGCATTAGGGATTTAAGCAGGGGCGTCGCCGACGGGGGGTCGGGGGGGGGGGGGGTCGTGACCCCCCCACTCTTGAAAACTGGGGGTGTCGACCCCCCCACTTTTGCGATGCTGAGTATGCTTTTTTAGCTTTTATGTCAGTGAAGCAGGCGTCAGCAACACCAACAAATACATCAGATTCAAAATCACTTCAAGAGCTCCCTAAAGCCAATTAGCCAATTACCTTAAGGTCAATTAGCTGTGGGCGGGGAACACCAGCACAACAATGTTTTTAAGTAGCCCCCAACCTAGTACCTTTTTATCCCTCAAATGATTGGACGCGCCAAAACTGCCCCGAGCGTTCGTCTGATCGTTTAAAAAAAAAAAATGGTCGCAGTCGATTCGTCGGATCAGTAGTCAGTACCTAACTACAAAACTACAAACTAGCCTCAGCCCCATGGCTACCGTCACAACTAGCTGTACAGTGCACATGTAGGGGAAAGGGAGTCAGATGGAACCGTCTCGGGCTTTCGCAAAGAAGTCGCGCAAAAAGGAGCCGATTGCAACAAAACTTCCGGTGCGCTCGAGTTAATCACCTACTTAAAATAAATCGATATCCCTGATTCAAATAAAGATGACCTTAGTTCACTTTTTCATAACGTGCTTTTAATTGATAGGGTAGTATTTGGAGCTGATTTTGAACTTAGCGCCCATCTGAACATTTAAGAAGTAGTTGTGTTGCTTATTCATATAACATGCTAGGAAGCAATCGGTGGTGGTCATCCACTATTAGGTACTGGTCGATCTGACCTAACCTGATCTACCCCAAATGCATGGAGTCATCATCTTCGTTCAAAACTAAGATAACATTCGTAATCAGAACCTCGAAAAACCATCACAACTTACATTCGTTAAGTTCTAGCAGGTCCCGAGTTTCTCTACTTATTGGCGATGACCTGAGTCCTGAGATGACTCGAAAACTTGTAAATGGGTATCATCGGCTTTCTCTCGTCACGGCCACGGGCAGCATGCTCTTTTATCCGCAAACCTGTAGATCGATCAGGGGTCGAAAGCATGCCTCAGCGTTAGTTTAGTATACGTTATACATACGGTAGCGACTGGGAAACCACCAATAGAAGGGCTACAGTGAAGCAGAAAACTATTCGATAGCTCTTTTAACGCTCTTTTGCTAGCTTCGCGTTAGATTTCATCTCAGGTCTATGTTTGGCCCATAAGAAGGCAAACAGCTAACTGGACAGATTCTGTCGAAACATCTGCTTTGCAATAACTTTCGATTCCGTGAATTTGTATGGTATGTAGGGGAAGGTGGGGTAAGACGGCCCAGCGGGGCAAGACGGACCACCAGCCCTCCCGGCTGAACCGCTGCTGGTATCTACTGCTTTATGCACTCACTATGTTTGTTTTCCTTCGTAACAATGGCCACCTTGAGCTCATGCTGCTAGGACGCATAGCTTTTGAGTTATTGAGAAAAATGTTGTTTTTCGTCAAACCGATCTAATATAAGAGGTCTACGGGTGATTCAATTACGGCGCCTTTCTTGCATGGTTAGTTTCTATTTTGCACTTTACTGTGAAGAACAAAGTTATAAACATAGTTATAGTCACACATTAGGAAAGGCAAGGTTTTGCAATGTTGGGCTATTTGACATATACGTCATGATAATGACAGAATTTAGATTTGGGGCAAGACAGACCACTGTGATCCATCTTACCCTGTGGTGGTCCATTGTACCCTGCATATGGAAAGTTTTTTTTTTCCAAAACATTGACACAAGTTTAAGTAAGCTAATTTTTCAGGAAGGAGTCTTTGTTGCATGTAAGCCATGCATGAAAGTGCTCAGTTAGCATGCATTCATGCCAAACGACAATCAACACACATGTTCCCTGCTTTTAGCTGCACTTTCATCACACATGAGTAAAGAATAAAGGCTCATTTTGTTATTTTACCATTCTGGTTACTTTTTCTTACAAGAGTACAGAGCAGAAGTGTAACACACATGGACGGGTAGTAGGCACTGCTGGGTGGTCCGTCTTACCCCACGTTTTTTCTTGTCTGAGTTTTTGACGCATCCACCACCTAGATGTCTTTAATTTGAAATTTAGTCTTTACACATATCAACAGAGGAAGGATTGAGCATTCCGAAGACTATAAATAATATGAATTACGAGAGCAGTGTAGCAAGATATGCGGCCTCAAACCTTAGCTGGTCCGTCTTACCCCACCTTCCCCTACATATGTCATGTCTTGTCACCACCGTCTTGATCTCTTTGAGACGCGTCACATGAGTTAAAATTTGACCATTCAGAATTAACGTTAAAACGACCTCAGGTCAACGTTATGTCCTGATCGAAAAAGGACCTCCTGCTGCATATGAATGGATCCGTGTTGTTGAGCTGAACAGTGAACACCTTCCAGGTGCTGTCATCGCTCTACCGCGTCTTCGTCAAAAGTTGTAGAAAAAAATGCTGGTGGCCATCGATGGACATTTCCACGAATGACCTTTCGAGTCATCACTCGCCATAAGTTGCACCCTGTCCCTGGCAATGATGAGCTGATTTGTCATGGCTCCAAAGATATTTTGCGTTTCTGTCGAACTTTTTCAAAGCAGGAGGCATTCGTGCTTTTTCTAATTTCTCATTATTTTCTAATGATGAGGTCACGTATTTGACCTGCCTTCAGATCATAGATGTAAATCCTCAGTTAGAATCATGAATTGCTGACACGTATAACCCCATACATCAGTTGGGCAAACTAGACTTTTGGAATCAAAATATGGAGGCATCAATAATTTGATTCTGGTGGGAGGAGCCATGACCAAATATGGGCATGGAATCAATTTTTTGAGTCATTTGGGTACACTTTTGACTTCAAATGAATCGTTACGGTTGAAAAAAGGCCCATGACGGTGAGTTTTTTCTTTAAAAAGGTAGAAAAATGTGGTAGCTTTCCAAAAAGTGTTACCTCAAAACTAAGAAATTGTCCCTTTGGCCTTGTGAATGAGAGAAAGACAGAGCCACTGTCCATCACGTAAAAGCTGTTTTGAGGAAATCACACTGTATGTTATTTTTGTATCATGAATCGCATACTAAACAATCAGTATTTGTGTAAAATGGCAAAATGAATTTTTCAAACCCCTTATTATCATTGTTGTAGTGCTTTTATATTTATTATATGGTTTTTACCTGTTGCTTCAGTTTTTGTGTTCTTGACATTTAAAAATTGTGAATTGTTATCAAATGTAGTGAAGGTTAACTACAACAATGCTATAGGTATCTGTTGTAGTGCTAAGGATACCACTAAATGAGAATAGTAGCAAGATAAATGATGTATTCCTGCAAGTCATTGTTGCCTATCTCTTAACATTACCTGTGAATCAAAATAATGATTAGCCAGCTGATGGGGAATCAATATTATGATTATCTGTTTAAAGTGAATCAATTCCTTGATTGCCTTTCACTACCTATAGAATTCAAATTGTTATGATAGGAGCAATATTATTTTGCTTAGGAGATAGTTCCAGCATTTCTGTTCAAGATCAGGCATGCTCCTTCTTGAAACACTCTCTTATTTTTATGTGATTGACAAGTTAGAAATGGTCTGCATTTATGCCCAAATATGGTCATAAGGAATCAATCTTTTGATGCCTCCATATTTTGATTCCAAAGGTCTAGTTTGCCCAACTGACATTAGGTACCAGTACAGTATAGTGTACCAAATTTCGAAGTTATGGGAGAAAAGCTAAAAGAATGGCAAGAGGGGAAAGTTTTTATAGAGGCATACCGTATAACTGAACTTGACATGGCGACCAGTGATAATTTTTACGCAAGTGATGTAGGTAGGTATACCTACCTAATAGGTTATACCAAATTTGGCGGCGCTGCGCGCCGATTTTTCACACACGCACACACACACACATACGCACGCACAAAACTGGGAAGTGTGGCAAAAAAAACACCCCTACCCATCGGGTGAAGACTAGAAACCCGACCCCCCCCCCCCACTCAAAAATCCGTGGCGACGCCCCTGGATTTAAGTCGTCTCGTCCCGGGCGGTTCTCTCAACCGTTCTGGCTTTATAGGTACTCGAGCGATTGAGGCCTTAACAGTGAGATTTATATGCTATCACCGAGACTTTCCTGAAGGTTTGGACCGTGAAGTGAATGAATTAGTCCAAGGCTCCAATCAGTCATTCAGAACTCCAATCAGTCACTAGTCAGACGTTACCCGAGTAAGCTGATACATCGCAAGGCCCTATCCTACGGAGTAGGTATCAGGACATCGGATGACGATTCAGATTGAGGTTCCCAGTTCCCACCTCACCTTACCTTACGGCTCGCACTGCAAATCCAGGCGTTTCGAGACAGTGTTTCCAGGGTATATAAAGATATTTGTTTCCATGGTCCATGGCTTCTTGAAAGTTGAACCTATCGCTATTCCAGCCAAGGCTATAGAACTCATTCCAGCCTTTCATTTTAAACGCAGTTCACACATGACCGTCAGTCTGTCGGTGTCGGGCCCGTCACCGTCGACCTGACGGCCTGCAGCCCGTCAAACGAAAGTTGAGATTTGGTAGCTCCCATTGGCTGCCATATGTTGTGACAGAAATGGCGCACTATTTTCGAGATGGACGCAGATGGGGGAAGGGGATGGGGGAGGGTAAAGGCCGAGAAGTTAAAAATATTCTTTGAATTACAGAAATAAAATACCACGCTTTTACATTTTTATGTCAAATAATGCTGCAATTTTATTTTAATGAAAGACACATCGGTTCGCTGACTTAAATCAGGGATCGAATCTCAAGATATCGTGCCGTAATAAACACTTTCATCTCAACAAATGGATAGAAAATGATATAAACTATCTTAAAAATGCATTTGAGCTTCATGCTGCATGATAACGTTCCTTTTCCTCTTCCTCCAACACGCAGACATTCAAACCGACGGGCCCGTCACCGTCAAAAGTTGAACATTGCTGAACTTTCCAAAGCGACGGCCGTCAGGTCCGGCGCCGGCGCAGTCAGCTGTTGCCGGCCGTCAAACGCTGCCGGTTCACACATGCCCGTCGACCTGACGGCCGTCGCTCCGTCGGTTTCGGCCGTTTTGACGGTGTCGGGCCCGTCACCGGCAGACCTTACGGGCAAGTGTGAACTGCGTTTTACACACGGTACATAGAATACTAGCAAGGCTATATAAACCAGGTAGAACGCTCCGGGAAAAAAGTTGGAAACAATAAATTAGTTGCGGCATTCCCTGATGACGCGAATGTGGGTCAGCGGCCGGCGGCCGGCCGCCGCTAACACTGTATGAGGAGGGATGCGCGGAACTTTTGCTTGTTGGTGATTGCGCTAGGCAGTTGAATGGTAATGTTAGGATATGTTTCGAAAGTAAATTGAACGACGCTTCGAACGCCGTCAATGAATTTGCGATACGACGACTATTTGTTTAGTTAGAGCCGGCGAACTTTTGCCTTCCGACCGCGCGCGGAGGCGATATGGTGCCACACTGGCGGTTTTTACGATAGCTCAAAATTCTTTTGAGATAAAGAGATGAAATTTGACATGTCCTATCTTTTGATCAAGCTGGATCTTATGGTACAAGTCGCATATTTAAGGTAGGTCAGGTTGTTGACCTATGTTGCCGCTCGTGAGCCTCTGCATAGTCAGGGGCGTCGACACCGGTCCGACTTTTCCGACTAGTCGGACCACTTTTTCGACTAGGCGGTGCCCTGCTGTGGCTCGCGGGGGCCCCTGCTGCAGACCGCGGGGGCCCTACTGCGGCTCGGGGGGCCCTGCTAGAGACCGCGGGGGCCCTGCTGCGCCTCTGGGGCCCTGCTAGACACCGCGGGGCCCTGCTGCGGCCCGCGGGGCCCTGCTGCGGCCCGCGGGGCCCTGCTGCGGCCCGCGGGGTCCCCTTCTGCGGCCGCGGGGGCCCCTGTTGGGGCTCTCGGGGGGCCCTGCTGCGGCCACGGGAAAACGCAGCAGGGGCCCCTGCTGCGGCCACGGGGGCCCCCCCGAGAAAAAGTCGGACCAGTTTTCCTTACGCGTCGACGCCCCTGTGCACAGTCCAAAAACAACGCAATTTCTGAACACTCCTCAGTGCCAAGAAATCCTTCACAGAAAGATGACACTTGGCAGAAAGAAGAGTTGTCCTTGTCGGTTTCTTACCGTTCGTATGTGTCGTGTTTTCACAAGAGTTTAGTAAGGTCAGGTCCGTCACGTGACCTCCCCTCATAACTCAATAGGTTTACTATCATAGAAGCGTTTATCAATCACCGGAAATCTTAGCCAATCCCACTGGACACTGGATCCATACCCACATGGGGCCCTCCTGACTGGCCACTCCCTCTGAAATCCACAATAACATTGGGCTGCGGCCACGGTTATGTATTAATGCTTTTCACTAACAGAAATACAACTTCAACCAGCACAGTGCACGCCGCCACAACAGTCCGACCCACGTCCCTGATATCGACTAGCTCCCGGCCGGATGCACATACGCGGAGCCAATCAGTCCGAATGTGACCTGCAGCTTACAATTGCTGTGTCGCATGGCGCATGGCACAGGACGATTCCTAGCAGCTGTCGGCTGGAGTGGAGAAACAGCACGTTGCGACACACCGCGCCGGCGACAGAGCTCAGCAGGGCTGGTTGGAGGCTGGAGCCGGAGGTAGGGGCGGACACAGGCACAGACATTGCAGGACAAATAACAGGATGTCAGTTAGGGATATAATTCAAGACGAATGATTCAAGACGGACTGAAATAATTATACACATTTTGCTCACTTGGATACCAACTTCACACTTGACGTTTATGTATAGCACCATGGAAACAATGGGCACACAGGAAAGAAACAAAAGATGAGGGTTTTTTAACTCAAGGAAGTAAAACAGCCCGAAGTGCAGACAAGCACATACTTTTGGTAATAGCTATCAGCTGTCCTACTCCTCTTCTCCCTTCATCAACTACTGGACACATTTGAAGCATCATATATAGCACCAATGTCCATAACCAAAGCTTGCAAGTAGTTTTAACTTCTATGAAGCCAAGGGAAATGTGCCTACATTATGCATGTAAACTCAAAATTACACATGCATGACAAAGGAAGTTTATGTAAAGAGAATAGTTGACAAAAGCATCTCATGGTTAAAATTATTCAAAACTGCACACAGGGCAAACATAAAAAGCAGCAAGTGTACTGTTCTGTTATGCTAAGAAATAGTCCAAAACAAAATACAATCTTTTCATGTTTGAACTGGTTGTTCTTCTATGCCCCTTCATCCATATCTTGATTACAGATGGGCTGTTACTGTAGGCTGATGAAGTGACACTTGATTGCCTTTGTGCAAGTTTCAGTTGCAGCCTCCTTAAGGTACTGCACTGGAAAGCAGATTGAATTGAATGCCTCTGAAAGATAGGAATACAGGCAAAGTTAGCTGTAGTAGTGTCAATGATAATAGACATGACATTTTTGTCCTTTGACATACATTTGTTGAAGTACAAAAAGGTACAAAATAAATTGGTTTGTTTCAAGACACGCACACTGCACAAAGCCGCACAGACATTACACAGGCATATGAAATTGGTACACATAAAAATTGATGATAAAAAAGGTCAAAACTTGCAATAATAATTGAAGTAAAAGTTACAATCACAATCATTTGATTTAAAATGACATGACATAAGTCACAAGACGCAACGCTCCTATTCTTTTATGCTTTCATTATCCTCCACATATCAACCAGCTTGATACCAGGCTGTGCAATAGTGTGTACATAACCCCATGTTGCCATTTTATTAGAGCAAGTGGGGTTACAACAACAATGCTAATGTCAAACCCACATCTGCAACCCGTACTGCAGTTTCAATCACCTTACAAGCACACCTTCTGGCAGTTTGATAGGCAGAATCAAGATTACTTTACTACTCAGAATGGTCATTACTACTTTCCCCTCATATTCAACACATATTCCCTTTATACAGATACAGTTTAGACCTGGTTATGGCAAGCACTTTCGAGAAAAGATATGATTAAAGTCCAAGACAAAGGTCGAGAGAAACAACACCAACATAAAACATCGACTATGTAGCATTAATACTGTCAAATTCATAAAAATATATACATGAGTCGATCAGAAATTCACTGTAGATTTCGAAAATGGTGTCAAATGCCACTCAAATACCCCCATTCGCATGTACGAAGCAATAAAACACTGACCTTCAATTCCGCGTGCCATTCTCCATAGGCCACTGTGTATTAAATAACGCGTTCACTGATAGCAAAAAAAGAGACCCACATATGACGCGTTTGCTACCAGCCAATCAGCGCTCGAGTTACCGAGCGCTGATTGGTGGAGAGGGCCGTCGTCAGCAGCTAATTACACGTTGTTTTCCTTGAACATGTGCGTGAGCGCTGATGCTGCTCACGGGCTGTTGCCATTTTTCGTAATGCTGAAGGCACGGGAGCGAACCCCCCTGGGTATTTCTTTGTTGATGTGTTTCATAAGATTTGTGGTGGCGGGATTATCGTCATTAACTAATTACTTGATATCAGATTTTAATGGGGAGTGGTGTAATTCCCGCACGACTGTTGACTTTCATTGTAAAATTCATAATATAGATTGCCTGAGCTGGTTCCTGGGCCGCCTCAGATAGCAGGATGGTGTGTCAAGTATCAACTTGACAGGAAGGTGGGTACCCAGACACTGAAGTCTCTGTGTAATTTGCGCCAAAAATTAGGTACCTATTTGTGCAAAAATTAAACCCTTTTTATATAAAGCACATGTGCACATCTACCAATCAAGGCTATATCAAGGCTATGGCGTCTGCCGCCATGCGCCGAATTCGGCGCATGCGAAGTTACCTACCTACGCCGGACATGTGCTGAAATTTTCGGCGCAATCCCGCCACTATGCCGGACATATTAGGCATCACGTGTATTATTTCCAGTCTGGTACAAAACAAAAATCAAACCTTACCTAACCCCATGTTGCATGTTCATATGAACTGTAGATCATATGTTTTTTTGAAAAAATACCCATCTTTCATCCTTTCAGCATACCTACAACCTACTAAACAGCCTTGGTATCAACCTAGCATTCATACTTTATCTGCACATACATATTGATATATGTGGTATGTTTTGTCCAGTAGGTTATATGTAGTAGGTGAGCCGTCAGGTGCCTACATGCTATCATTTGTCATGCTTTGATTTCAGATGGTGTCTTGTGGGCTTTATAGTGGGCTTTGTGGCCCTCGTGCAAGGGTTAAGTGTTGATGCACATAATGCAATGTGTTTTTTCCATGGGCGCAGGAACCTCACGTAAAGTTGGGGGGGGGGGGGGCAGAGAACTTCAATGTCACTTTGTGGGAACCGTAATACCCCTATGAACAAATTCTTTGCAGTTTCGTGCTCATCTCACCTTGCCGAACCATTTCTTGCTCTTAGTTTTGAATTTAAATGAAAAATAAATATTTTACTTTAAAAATTAGCATAGCTGAAAAGTGGGGGCATGCCCCCCCCCCTCCGCTCCTACGCCTATGGTTTTTCTTAATGGTACAAATCATCCACATTCATATGTGAAGGGTAGGTAGCTACCTACAGAACCAAATCAATGCCTCAATTGCTCATTGTTTTCTTACAATAAGTCCCTCCTCTGCCAATCGCACTTAAGTATCTACTGTCACAATGCAGTGTGCGTCATGATTTCTCAACTCTATGCTTACAATATATTTCCATTTGTCAATCACATATTTTTTTTTACAGGCTTTCCGGTTATGACTGAGGCCGGCATCTCACCTGTCCTGGCTACGCCAAATCACTGCGGATGCCGGATGCCGAGGACCGGAGAGCCAACCGCTTTGAGGCGTGAGCTCTGTGGCGTGGCTCGAGTGACGGCTACGGCGCCGTCGACCTGGTTGAATAGCTGGGGCCTGGACGAGGGTGCCCTTAGTACGGTGGCCAATCGGTTACGTCCGAGGGGCGCTCGAACACGCTGCCGTCGCGTGGCTGCCGGCGGCCGCCCCCTCGCACGTGAATCTTCTGGAGCGAGGACTGCGAGAGGCGGCCGCATCATCACCTGTGTCCGCGCTCAACACCGTGCCACGCACTAATGGCGGAAGCCCGACTTTCTCCGATGGAGGAGAGAAGCTGGACGCTGGCTGCCAGGCTGCTGGGGAGGGCGCTGGCTCTGCCATCAGGGGACCCCCTGCGCGCGACCGCCAAGGCCTCGGCACCGGCGCGCCTGTCTTCGGTCCGAGGCTGGAGATTGCGAGGCCGCCAGGCCTGGGCGAGAGCGAGAATCCCACCGTGTCAACAGACGGCTGGCGTCACCTTCCGGTTGGACGTGTGCCCGATCCGGGCTGGGGCCACGGCGGCGGAAAGGGAAAGCGTGGCTACGCTGCACCTCGCGTTCCTGCCCCTGTGTGCTGTCCGGCTTTGGACGGACGGATCTGCGGAGGGCGGAGTCTTCAGGTGCTGGGCGGGAGCCGTGCTGGTCTGGCTGTATTTGTATTTGTATTTGTATTTACATTTAAGAGCGATCCACATACAAAGTGCGTGGCGATTACTGCTCAGAATCCGTATCCGCGGCTGCTGATCTAATCATTCAAAACATTTGCACATTCACGAGGGTGCCCTTAGTACGGTGGCCAATCGGTTACGTCCGAGGGGCGCTCGAACACGCTGCCGTCGCGTGGCTGCCGGCGGCCGCCCCGCGAACAAGGACAAGGCTGGACGAAGAGGCCGAGGAACTGCGGGCCCCGGCCGGAGAGCTGTGCTTTAGCTACCGCGCGGAGATGGTGGCGCTGGTGACCGGTCCGGAGACCCTACTCGGAAGAGACAGAGACCAGGACCTGCGTTACGTACCTATCTGCTAACTGTGCGGTGGTGCTGGTGTAGTGCAGCATTTTTGGATGGATAGCTACATTTCACGATTAAATAGCTGTTACGTTTCAGTGCAGGTGGCGTGACGAACAATGTGGTAGTTATCTGTTGGCCACTTCTGCGGCCGCTGCTATTTCCTACTCGAAGGCGGGCGCGCTGTTTGGCTGGGCCGCCAGGATGTTCCCATTATGTGTCGACGACAAAGCGAGTGTATTCGTGTTCTTTTAATGCACAGAGGTCTGTTGTTGTATATTTGAAGTTTTATTTTAAGTTGACGATTGCGAAGGGCAGATTCATCTTCTCTCTTTCATTTGTGTTGCCACTTTATCGTTCATGTTTGTTATAAGTGTCCATGCGGCTTGGTTGTCATCTTTATTCCTGATGTATTTTATTTTACGAACATGCTGGTGATCAATGCAATACACTTTTGGTTAATAATGCTGCTTTAGCTCTGATCCTTTGTGGTATGTCTTGACTGTACTACTGCGATAGCGATTTTTCCTCACCAAAATATGCAGGCAACCAATGTAAATGCTGCCAAAAGTTTGTCATTACGTGATGTATCTAAAAAACATCGAGTTCCTGAACGTGGTCGTGTACTACGTAACCGGAAACTCAATAGGACGCAGAATTCTGTGAAGCAAAACTACAGGAGTGAGGCTGGCCACGCCAAAATCAAGTGAGATATGTCTAGCCTTTCTTCAGCCGCCAAGGCTTCGATAGACTATCCCCGGGTTCGGTGTCTCTCGAACTACGAAGATTTAACGTCGTCCGGCCAATCCTGGTTAAGGTCAGCGGGGATTTAGCTGTGGTTATGGAACAGGATTGGCCGTCCGAGAGACTCCGAACCTGGGGTATGTTGCAGCACAGCTATGTCGACCGAGTGTCGTCGCAAGCTGCACCACTAGACGAGAACAAATAAAACCGTCCCGTCCTAGGCTGACTAGGCTTAGCTAGGTGGCAGCACAGTCGCGCCGGCAGGGGGCAGTGCCACAACCAGCCGACTGATATTTTCGTGTGACGTTAGAACCGGTGCCTCCCTGATTTTACAATCAACCCCCACGCATACCAGAAACACTATTTTATTTTGGTTGCACTGTTCCTGCAACTGCTTTCGAAAGATATGCGCCATTAAATGTCGTGTTTATTTAACATTTTTTTTTACATCGATCTGCCTCAGCTTGCGCTTGTAAACGAAAATTTGATCTGCTGATTCGTCAATATTCGTCTATTCAGCTCATGCGTCACTAATAGAACACAAATCCCGAAATTTCCTTTTGATCAACGCAGTTAGCTTTGAAATTGAAACCTCGCTTTTGTGGCTTAGAAGCGCTTAGAAGAATTCAGACACATTTTATATGAGTTATAGCACCTGCATTTGGAAGGGCATTGTGTGCAGATCATAAATTTTCGTTTGCTCCAAGACGAAAAAATGGATTCCGGAGAGTGTTCCGTTGGTAAGTGTCTTTCTCATAGTGCTTATTTGCATGCGATGCATTCATAATAATGAGCAGTCTTACGAGCGAGGCAGAACCCACTATTGAGGTTTGGAAAAAGCTGGTGAGCAATGCCTACAAGCTGATGCAAAACAAGGCAATGCACCTTCACCGACATTTCATGCTTTTACTGGTACTATTACTTGATAAATTTTTAACCAGTAGGTAAAATGCCTTTTGGGCGAAGAACGAGCGGGCGAGATAGTGAGCCCTGCATGTGCGGAAGGGCGAGAGGGTACTTCCAACAGGCTTGTGCAAAGCACCCTTCTGACCGGTCGCTAGCGGTGTGCCAAATTTGAACGCAATCGGCCCAGCCGTTCCTGAGATCAGGGCCCTGTTTCACCGGTGATAGCAGCACGCCGATTTTATGACTTGTCAAATTGGGTTTCCATGGAGACATCAACAGGCCCATTGCTCCAACACTACCACAAGTGTGATGTCAGCTCGCGCAATTTGATAGCAGCGTGGTAGCAGCAGCCCGTGAAACACCGCCCTGGAAGCGGCTTTCTGCGCGTGCGCATGTGCAAACGGGGTCCAAACTTACTTTTGCACGGCATCCTACTAACCGGTCCCCAACTGTGTACCAAATTTGAGCGCAATCAGCCCAGGCGTTCTCGAGATCTGGAAGCGCCTCCTGCATATGCGCACGTGGAGTAGCACCCTAGCCCGCAACACATGGGCATGCGCCATTGCCTGGTGGATGCCTACCTGTATTCCAAGTTTCAGCGAAATCGCCCCAGTAATTACCGAGTTATTGAAATGGGAACAAATTTGGCACATCTTTTTGTATTTTGCATGTGCAGTGGGGGTCACTCACATATATCAAGAGTATCCGACCTTTGGTAGAAGGAATGCAGCTACCCTATAAAAATTACCGCAAGACAATCTCCCAAGCGGCTGCTGAGATATGAGTCTCTCAAAATCACTACTTTTGCAAAACAGCTTGGACACCCTTGACTTTTCACGTGGCATGTGCCACGACGGTCACTGAGATGTGTCAAAAGTAGTCAATTACGGGGTAGAAGGGATGGGGCTACCCAGCAAAAAAGACCGCAGGCAAATCGGTCCAGTGGTTGCTGAGATATAAGCCTCTCAAAAGCGTTACAGGCCGGGCCGAGCCGGGCCGCTCATGCTGAGATTTTCCGTTATATTGAAAAGACTCACTTCGCTCGCTCGCTCGTAATACCTCGCATGTTTAATCAATTAGGCAGATGACAAAAACAAAACAGACCTATAACAATAATCGATGAGTCAAGTATTTTAAGGGCACCTTTCCTTTGGCTTCCAAACAGAGGATAAGTGCTAGAACTGAAACAAGTTATTGGGTTATCTAAGTTTGAAAGGTGTGAAATGCACATATTTTAGAGTGCTGAAATGTGAAAGCGTTTTGAGGAAACTCACCTATAAATTTATTAGAAGACTTGAACAGAGTAACAATAGTAGGTATCATACGAGCAATAAATTCCAGTGATCTTCGCTTTCAATCAAAGATTAAGTGCTTCTGGACCAGAAGGCTCTATTGTCATGCGGTTCAACAATGAATGTGCTTTGTTCATGAATGTGTCATAGTCTTTGTGTGTATGTGTGGGTGTATGTTTCATCCATCTCCATCTATCACCTTCTCATGTCGATGGACTTCTTAGTCTGGAATCCAAACCTATCTATCTGTCTATCTATCTATTTACATGGCATATTGATCAATGTTACAATCACATTACAATCAATGTTTTTCAATATAATATAACAATCATAAATCACACCTATTTGACCATTGATTGCCAAAAATTAACCCAGAATTTCACACCTCCCACTTGTGACCTGCCCAACCTAGTTACTGCACAATTTTTATAACTATGCTACCTGCCTCCATGTTTCTTGAGATTTGCATTGCCAACTTTTATAGTATTTGATGGAAAGTTTGTGACTTACAAGCATCTCATGTGCCACAGATCACTGGCTGGGATTCTTCATGGGTGCTGGGATCCCCAACCGGGTGGCTGCAGACTACGCCGTCACCTTCAGCGACAACAGGATGAGGCTGGACATGCTGCCTGATCTCAGCAAGGACTACCTCAGGGACATGAACATCACTCTCATGGGCGATGTCATTGCCATCCTGAAGCATGCCAAATCGGTCAGCCAGAAGGTATGGAAAACGAAAAGCTCGTTAGTGTCCTCTCTGTTGTATAGAATGCTTATGAACTAGGTAACAGTTAAGTTTATCATATTCTTGCTGAACTGTTGATTTAACTCTGTAGTTTTCTTCTTGTATAGTCATGTGGCTTTTGCATCTGAACTGAATGTTTTCATAGCACATTTCCTCTTAATATGCATATGTATGCCTCAAAATCAACGAGCTGGGCGGAAAATGACCTTCGTATTCGACGCGCCCTAAAGCCTAAATAAACCCGACCTACGGGCTACGAGTACATCAATGTGTTGGTAAATGGCGTGGTAATTGGTAACCCTACCATTTAGCTTTTAATTATGTATGATCATGTATTTACACATTGTTTCCATTCTCCTCCAAAGGCGTACACCGCCCAGAAGATCAGCAGCGGCAAGGCGGTGGCTGCGTCGCGCGCCCGCCCGGCCGCCGCCGCCCCCGCTGCGGCCGCTGCTGTGGCGGCTCCGCGCGCCGCTGTCCGCCCGCTGAGGTCGGATCCCTCTCCGCGACCCGTGAGGGCAGAGCCGGCGCCGCGGCCGACCGAGCCAACCACGCCGATCCGCGCCAAACGCAGCAGCGACGTCGCCGACGAGGGTGAGTGTCTGTGACGGCTGTCCCGCCATCTGGAAGTGGTCGGACTCGTGCTGTAAGTAGACGGTTCTAAGTTCAATATGTGTGCGCAGTGTATGGGATGATGCCCCTTTGACGACAATGAACTTCTGCCGTACCGTGAGTGAGAGTTTGCGTCGAACTGACAGTGCTGTCCCCGCTCCTCAGGTGGCCGCTGGGCCGGACCGCCGACGCCCAAGCGAAGAATCGTGCCTCCGGGACCGGATGCACCCGATATCGACGATGAAGAACCGGGTAAGTGGCTTATCGTGCTCTCTGGGCACCTCCTTGCTGGGTTTGTCATGATACAAGTGCTTGGCTCACCGAATCATCTAGCCAACATCATCGTGTTACATTGTTACCTATTGGATGCTTGACTTTCCGTGGTTCCCAACTGGCCTCCGTTTTTAGTCACCCCCAGTGGCGCGTCTGCAGACTTGTGCCCAGGTCCCTGGCGCCAGAGCGGCCCCCTCTCCAGCAACTCACCCGCTAACCTTGCCCCTCCTCCCCCAGAGCCGGTGCCGCGCCGCTCAGCGATGGTGGAGCGGGTGCGGGCGGCTCCGTCCCCCGCGGCACGGGCGCGGCCCGTCACGCAGACCGTCTCCCGTGTCGGGCACACCTCCTCGGCGCCCATCCGACCGGGGTTCCGTGGGCCGGACAGTGAACGGGCAGAGGCGCCGCGCAGGACTACCGCCGCCGCTGCCTCTGCCAGTGGCGCCAGCAGGACGGGTGGTGGATCCACCCGGTTCACCATCACTGGACTGGGAGGCATCTCGGCTGCGGTGCAGCCTCACCAGGTACGTGACGGAGGACATGGAGCGTGAAGACATGCCACACAATCACAGATGTCGAGCATGGAGAGTTGACACGTGCATTGAAGGTATCATTGAATAGGATGAAGATAGGTTGACTAGAAATGGTTTTGCTCCAAGGACTGATGATTTTATGTTTATTTGTCTGATAGTGCTTAAGTTTTGCGCTTATTCCTTGTCCTAGGATCACCACCATTTGTGCTGTAAACCTGATATTTTCTTCATGCAAGCTCGGCCCTCACGAGTCCACGAATATTTTTCAAGTCCTGCGAAGTCGCTGTAACTGTTGTGACCCTGCGTTTATCCGCTGTGAGCATTGCAATTATGCATGTGTTGACGTCATGCTGACTACCATTTGATCCTGTATTTGCCTGGTGTGGCAGTTGTAGCCCCATTTTCACCTGTTGTGGCCCTGTGTCGACAGCGCCGGCCGCTGGGCCTGCAGCCGGATCTGCCTACTGCCTCCGGACTGCCCCGTCAGAAAATCACCTTCGACAATAGCGAGCCGGGCGGAGCAGCCGACCCGCCGCGCAGGACTGTGGGGACAGGTACGGAAAGGAGCATGTCATTTTGGAAAACTGGAAATACTCTGAGCTCATCATCATCCATATTAGAGTTTTTAATACATTCGTAGCCTAATGAATCAGCTTTGAGGAACAGTTCGCGAAAGGTTGTCTCACGTATAACAGCTGTCATATCTTGTAGCATTAGTCTTTCCCCCACAAGTCTCCTCGACCCAGTTGTAACAGGGTCATCCGAGTGTCTCTAAAGCTCTCAGCCGTCTGACGCGTGTCCGTCCTCCGCCCGGCAGTGCGGACTCGGGTGGAGGCGGGGGCCGTGGCTAGGCGACGCGTCGTGCCTCAAGTTGACTCCCCGGACTCCGACCGAGCGCCTCCGTCGCGCACGGAGGGAGTCCGCTCGGCAGCTGCCAGAGAGCGACTGGCCGGGCGCGACCAGGGATTCCGCTCAGCGGCGACACGGGAGGTGCGTGATGTTCCCGTCCGCGTCAGGACGACACGCGAGGGCGGCGGGGAAGTGCCGAGAACAGCTGGAAGTCGGCTGAAACCACCGCCGGCGCTGGCGCGTCCGACCGTGGTCCGCACGCGGCCGGCTGTCGAAGAGGAGTGGGCGGAGGAGCGTCCCCGACCGGTCGCGTCGCGTCTGAAGCCGCCTCCGGCGGCGGGAGTGAAGGCTCGGCTGGGTGCAGGCGGCGGCGGCCGGATGCAGCTCACCACTGCTGGAGGCAAGGTGATCAAGTTGAAGGGATCATCGGTCTACAGCCGGCTGGGCGATACCAGACGGTAAAGCGTTCACATGAGGGGGAGCTGAGAGATAAACTCAGAAAGGCGGTTGGAGAGGGCTGTCTGAGGGCCGAGTACAGAGAAAAAGCCGCCTGACAGCTGACTTCAAGAGGTTTTCAAGACAGAATTTTCTAGAAGCCGCCGGATCGGTCGAGTTGATGCATGAGACTTTTGATGTGATTTTGTTCTAAATTATTGATTTGAGTGGGCTGCTGGCTGAGCTCAACAGTCATTGGCGAAGTAATGCAAGGGCTGAGCTCAGATGAACCAGCGGTCAGTGGAACGTCTGTGGAAGAGCGCCAATGCATAGCCTAGACTCCGTAGCTACCACTGCCTGCCTATTGGGCCGGAGCCACCAAACCCGGACGCATGTGCAGCTAGACGTCCCGTCTATCTAACCAGGCGGCGTCGGGTGACGCTCAGTTCGCCGCGGCGAGCGAGCGTCCGGCTCGTCACACGTGTGACGTGGGCACCTGTTCACGACGAGTCCCGACTGGGTGAGTGCCAATCAGTAGCGTAGTGTTGCAGTGCTAGTGCCGACAGAATTTCAACCCGCCAGCCTGTGTGCGATGCGTCGCTGTGCCTTCGGGAGCGTGCTTGAAGTGGGTTTGTAATACGGCCAGGCTACTACCGCAGAGCTGGATATTGCAGCTCAGTCGTAGGCTCGCATATTCACCGAAATGTGGGTGGGATTTTGGGTTGTGACGGAGAAAGGGCGCTAAAGACAATGACGATAGCGGTCAGAACTGTTGGAGGGATATATCACCAAAATCATTAAATAGCAAAATGGTTGGAACTAATCTTATGGAGCTAGGTATAAGACGAATGAAGCACTTTTGTCTTAGTCGAGTAAGAAGCAAAATATTTGCTGAACGTTTCCTTTTGTTGTGCTGGAATAAGCTGCATACTTACGCACTTTTCTACTAGGTGGACTTTATTCCAGAGTTCTTTGATTAATCTTAATGATGCAGCATATTCTCTTTGGTGCCCATTACTGCTTTTTAGTGTTTGATCTTTAGCTTATTCACTTTATGGTGTTTTTCGTTAAAAAATGTTGATCTTTTCTACACTTCACCAATGTCCCCTGCTCTATATCACATATAGGTAGCGCTTTGCCTAACTTTGTGTGTGACTTTTTACTGAACAATAAAAAGTAACCTTGTTTTGATGCAATACTTGCAACGGTATGAGGGTATGGTTTTAAATGGGCGATAACGTTCTTATGTTCGTACTTCGTAGGTACTGAGAGATGCCAAAATATAAAAAAGCATAGCTTTATGTTTCACGAAAGCAAATGTTAGGTACGTGCATTTAGGCATTGGTAATTGCGGTCACATTTCACGCTCACTTGAACTAACCTTTAGCGAGGATGTGAACCTCAAAATCAATTAGAAGTAGAATGGAAAGTAGAATGACTCAATGTCTAAGAATCGCAGGTTGTTCATTGGTTTCAAATATGAATTTTGGTTTGTTAATCTTTGAATGAAATCCTGTTGTATCAGCCACACTTTACAACAAACCAAGGTACCTAACCAAAGCAACAGCTTGCTTACATTCAATTTCAACAGCTTGCTTCGCGCTCGGTTATGGTATTCGTCACCTGAGCTGTAAATTCGTTCTATTGCATTACTTTTCAACTCTTCGGGCGGGTCATATTCATTGTCCCGTTTGTCTGCCGATTCGGCCCACTAGAGGTCTCTGCCGAGCCGCTCAATCTCGTCCAGCATGTAGTCCACCTCTGCTCGGCCGAGCGGCGGCACGGCCGTGAACACCAGCCGGAAAAAGTTGACGGCCTGCTTGTGCGGCAGCGGCTGGTAGCCGACCATCAGTGTGCCGGAGCGCACCATGGCCTCCTTGACGCGGGGCGCCACCCGCCCGCTCATTTTACCCATCATATGGAATATCCACCGTAAACCCGAGAGCTGTATACGGCTTACCACCCTTTCCCTTTTGGAAGTGAAACAGAGAGTTTTGGCGCCTGAGCTAGTGGACTGTCGAGGGCTTCACGCGGTCTCCAGCAATGCTTAGCCAAACAGAGCGCCATAACTCTCATTGATCTGTGGGCGTGTGGCCCCGGATCTCTAAGCGTGGGTTGAACGACTAGGGAACGGCTTTGCTATTGAAACAGCGCCGGTCCCATAGCATAGCTCAGTCGGTAGTGCGTTGGACTCCACGTGATGAGAGCGCGCTTTGCTCTGCTTACAAGCTCTGCTTAGCGGGGGCTCTGCCCTTGTGAATCCCTTCATTCAATGGTTAGGACTAAATTTATAAAAAAGTCATTTCTCATACTTCTTTTTAATGAAATGTTTCTCTTATCACGTTTGCTATTTCGAAAATCCAATAAAACTGTTTCGGGCGCAGCACCATGACGATTGGCCTACAGTGGCCGACCCCGACTGGGCGGCTAAGCCATTGTTTTAGATACTTCATTAGCGCACGGGCTCGTCCGTACACACCAGATAGGGCACCTGAGAAGCCGAGTCCCAACGGACCGTCCAGGCGGGGCACCATCCGTGCCGGATAGTTCTATCAGGTATTATGTGCCGGTCACGTACCATCCAAGGATGCAAAGACGCAAAAAAGCCACATCACACTATCAGCGAAAATGGCAAATCATAGTTACTGACACTTGACGCATTTATCCAAAATTATAAGGACTTGTCGTCTTCCTGATTCTCATTTCACCTCTGACTGGTGCGCTGCAGTAGTCTGTAGTAGTCTGACCGCCTGTCTGTAGTCTGTAGTAGTCTGACCGCCTCTAGTCTGCACTGCGCTGCGCTGCAGAAACAGACTAGAGATAGGGAGTGTCCCTGAGGGGCAGGTCACCGAGCCGCTCATTGCTCAAACGGTCACCCCAGTCGTGGTGAGGCAGTTCCTTTGGAACTGCCCTCACGGCTGTCTTGTTGGGATGATCGTCAGCCCCGAGCATGGATAGATGATTGAGGATGAAGATAGCCGGGTCCTCAGGAAAGCAAAGACGGAAAATGGCAACTTAAGTCGTTTCAGAGGATGTGATGTGAATCGGGCCAGCAGTGCGTTGTATCTGGAGACGGTGGTTGTATAATCTCGCAGACCCACGTGCGGTCATAATAATTTACGCCTGACCAGCCAAATTTTCCATTGGTGAGGGAGGGCGTGGTCCGATTATATCCAAGCAATAGCCGCTGTGTAAATAATCGGCTCCTCCCATGGTCGGTGGCATCAGCCCGCTGCTACAATCACAACAGCTCTCCAAGGCCACCACCTACAATCAGGGGCGCACCCAGGCTCAGCACCTACGGCGGACAGATAAGTGCCTTACGACTGTGGAGAGACTAAAATCAGTGCTACATGAGAGTTGTGCATTATTCACTATCCATGTTCAAATGTGTGAGGTTGGTGAGTTACATAACTCGCCGTGGTGAGCGGGACAGTGACGGTGCACCTGGACTCGCCTCTGCGCCGGGCTGTGAGCGCACGGCTTACCATGGCTGGGCGGTACGGCCGGCGCGGCTAGTGAGACGCCGAGCCGAGTGGAATCCTTGCGTTAGTGTGTGGTCCTGTGGTGTTTACTCGTGACACCACATCTGGATATCTGGCTATTTGTGTCCATCCTGCCTGGTGCCGAGGCACCACCTGCTGGGTGTTTGGACAGCGGCCGCGGTCCTCCCTATCGGGCCGGCTGTCACCAACTCTCGCCCCCTATCGGCGCGCCACGAGGCGGAGCCATGCTCCCGAGATGCGCGCGCCTGGCGAGGGGTGGTTCCTGTCGCCTGCCAGGCAGCACGGGTGTCGTCGGTCGACCCCGCTCCGACGGCGGTCAGTCGATTCATGGAGCCGCGCGCGAGAGGTCACTCATCACGCGACGTGCAGCCTGTATCGATCGACGCTCGCTCGGAGTTCGACTCAGCTCGACCATGGCTGACGGTTCGTCTGGGGCCCCGGCCGGCCCGACTCCGTTCTTCCAGCGGGTGATGGCGCTGGTTGACGAGCTCCGTCTGACGGAGAGCGCGCCGCCCGACCGGCGCGATCGGCCCGTGATCGAGTTCCGCTCGCCCGAGGAGCTGTCGCAGCTGCTGCCGCTGGCGCTGGGCGAGCCGGCGTCGGACGAGGCCGAGCTGTTGCAGCTCTGCCGCCAGGTGGCGCGCTACTCGGTGCGCACCAGCGACTTTCGGTTCCGTAACCAGCTGTACGGCGGCGTGGACGGCTACGGCCTGGCCGGCGCGCTGCTCACCGAGTGCCTCAACACCAACCAGCACACGTTCGAGGTGGCGCCGGCGTTCATCCTGTGTGAGGCGGCCGTGCTGGCTCACGTGCGCCGCCTGATCGGCTGGAGCACCGGCGACGGCATCTTCGCCGCCGGCGGTCCATGTCCAACCAGTACGGCCTGCGCTGGCGCGCTACCGCCGCCACCCGCAGGTCAAGACCAGCGGCCTGTTCGGCCTCCTCCGATGGTGCTGTTCACCTCTGAGGACGCGCACTACTCAGTTTGAAGGCAGCCCACTGGCACGGGTACGGCCAGGAAATGTGGTGAGCGTTCCGACCGACGAGTGCGGTCGGATGCGCCCGAGCCCTGTCCGCCGCCGTGGAGCGCGTGATGGCCGAGGCGCCGCGAGCCGCTGGCCGTCAACGCCACATGCGGCACCACAGTGCTGGGTGGCCT